TTTGGAGCACACCTTGTGTCTCCCTCTGCTGGGCCTGTTTGTGTGCAGAAAGAAGCAGGCTGTGCAAAAAGACCAGCTTTGATTGCACCAGGCCTGGGGGATCTGCCTCTTCAGGCAGGCTTTCTGTAGGGTTAATCAGTGCATATCTTCCAGCTGTACTCTTCAGCAGTGGGGTTTAAGCACCACAAGGAGGGGCAGAGTAATTCCTGCAGGTGGGGCTGTTGCTTCCTGTCAGACTGATGCCATTCAGAGAGGAGTGCTCTGCCTGAGGGAGATGGCTCCTGCAGTATGGGGAATGACTCAGCACAGGCACCCTGGTGGCTGTTCCTTCACTTCTTTCCCCAGAGCCACCAACCCGAGAGAGACTTTCCTCAAGCATCTAGTCCACTCTGCCCTCCCTTTGCCAGAGCGCATGGTAAGTGGCTGCAAATGGAATTTTGTGCATTGGCCCTTAAAGAGCTCTCTGTGTCTCCTGTCATCTCTCCCTGTTGGACAGAAACCCTGCTGCTTTTCACAGCCATGTTATTTTGGTTCCTTTCCTGGTTCTGGTGCTATAGGCTGAGGAACCCAGCTAGAGCTCCATACTTCTCAGGGGGAAGCCCCCAGCCACTGAAATATCCTTCTAGCACTTCAGCTGCTGCCCATGGGAGCCAGCCAGTCCTCTTATGCCTCCTCTGCAGTCCCTACCAGTCTCATTGTATTGAAGTAGCTTCTTCCGTCTGTCTGTGGTTTCTCTCTAGTTGGTGGTGTTGGTTATTCAGGATGGTTTTCCTATAATTTAGTTGTAAATCCAGTTCGGTCCTGGGAGGAAGTTAGTGTAGCTTCCACTTACTTCACCATCTTCGAAGGATTTCAAATAAAAACTTTCTTAAAATGCTAAGTACCACATACTTCTAGAGAGTCTGACCTGGGAGAGACACAGGGGCAAGGCTTTTCAGGTGCTGGCAATATGCCATTTGTTACCTGGTCATGGTTGCACGAGTGGTTCCTTGACCTTCATTTTAGTGAGTTTCTTGCTCTCTTCTGTGTTTTTCACACTTAAGTTGCCCATCCCCTTTCTTTTCTACTAATTGCAATTCTCCAAGACTGGGGAGCACTTATGTATGAAATGCTCCATCAAGGCTTAGTTCAAGTGCTATGGAAAGGACCTGAAGTAGCCCTGGGGGAGACCCTCATGAGGAAGAGAGGCTGGAACTGGGTTTCTGATTAGTGTCTGTTACAGGTTCTCTTAATAATGCTTGTCTGACAACCAGAGGGTTGGAAGATAGAGTCACAGCAGAGGTGTCAGATGGCCAGGGGGCTTGTGGAGGCCAGGTATCAGCAGAGTAAGCTAATGGGACATGGGTGACTGTGTGGTGACCCCAGAGTGCCTGGTTTAGGCATTTGGAGACAGCTGGAAACAGCTAGAGACACTGAGGGTTACAGTGCAGTGAACATTAAAAACGCCCTCGTGTTTCAGGGAGATGAATCTGGGTGTAGCAGGTAGGGAGCAGCGCAAACAGGGAACCAGTCGTTCAGGCATAGCACACTGGAAATGCTGTAAGTGAAGCTAGAAAGAAATGGCACTGGGACATGTTAGCAAGCAGGCAGAGGGAACTGAACGGCTGTCAAATATTAGGTCCTCCGAAAATGGGATGCCCACAGTGCCAAGCTCTCTTGCCCCCAGTCACCCCTTCAGCTCTATGGTGTCAACAGTCTGTGTCAGAGAACACTGGCCCCTCCAACTGAACCCTGGACTCAAGGGAACATGCCTCCCCAGGGGACAATGAAGTCTGCTTCTTCTGTGAAACACAGCACAAAGCTTCTGTTTTGTACACAAGCATGGCACCTAGACTCACATGTGAAAATGTGCCAGCTGTCAAGGAAACAGCAAAGGGCTATTATGAACCTCTCTAGTCCAGGGGCCGCTCACAAATGAGGGAGTGCTGCCTGCGGGGCCACCAGCTTGAAAACAGAGGTACCTCCATGAGCCGTGTGGGAATGAGAGATAAGATCAGCCCGGAGTCCTCTGGGTCATTCTGGGAGCTGCTTTCTTAGGAAACTGCCAGAAACCACATTGACACCGTGAAAGGGACTTCTCAGGAGACAGGGCAAGCACAAATGTAGGCAGCACAGACAGGTAACTTTATTCTTATTTTTCTTTATAAAATAAAGATACAGTAGGAATTTTACAATTCGGTGTGATTAGACATGATTTATAATTTTAACATTCTTTTTAAACAAATGACAGCAGAAACAGAGAACTGGTATAAATGATAAAATTCACTAGAGCAAAGAGAAACAACCTTCCTGATCAAAACATGCGCCAAAGCGAACCTTCTTTAGGAAAACTCTCTAAGGTTTCTAAGCTAGACTTCCTTAGAAAGGGCTTATGGGAAGCCTTTAATCTCAAATATTTAAATTATTTTTCTAACCGCTAAATGCCTTGACCAACCTGTTAATCAAATGCTTCCGAAATTGAGGAACAAATGACTGAGTGCCCTGAACACCGTAAGTCTCGATCCTGTTTTTCCAGCTGTCAATTATTAATGTCTCAAGAAAACAAAGTATTGTCTAAGCACAGGAGCTCTTGAAAAACTTCAATGACCTTTTCTGGCTCAGTACCTCACCGAAATGTCCAAATGTTTGCACTGCACACACACAAATGTGAGCAGCATCCTATGTGTGTATGAGAAGCGGATGAAGATTGGAAAACATCTAAATGGTGTCCCATGTACACGACTTAAATATATAGATTCTATCTCTTTAATTAATGTAAGTAAAAAGGTAAAGTTGGAACAGCACAGAAATACAAATGTATTATTTTACAAAATATATCCAGCCCCTTATATGCGCATGATATTTATACTTTTGGTGACACCGTACAAGGGAGCTCCATTCTTCTTCATATATGAAAGCAGGAAGTCACGTGTGCAAACGTATTTACACAAAAAAAATAAAGATGCACATTCCTCTTCTTTGTCCTTGATGGAATGTTGGGAATTATTTAAAGACAATTCCAAGGTTCTGAATCAAAGTTCAAAGGCTTGGAATGAAAAAACTCCTAGTGGCACATTGCACTACATGGAATGACCGTCATTTTCTAGAAACTAGGGCTGTGTTCCCTACCACAGGATGGGTGGGAGTCCCTGAACACCGAGCCACCTCTGGTCAGAGAATCAGATCATGAAAATGTTGCTGCCATTTCCAGTCCCAGTCAAATCCCTGATAAAATAACAGGCCACACTTAGCAGCCACCATCAAACAGGCTGCTTTCCCAAACTGCTGAAGCAGAGACGAGTTCTTGACACTCAGGATCTGGCCACTGGCTTCTGTGAGAGTGGAAGGCTCCCAAATGCATCCCTGGCCCAGAGGGAGGTGTGGAGGCGGGGGTAGGGGAAGGACCAAGGACTGCAGCTTCCACAAAAGCAAACCAAAACCTGCCTGCCAGGAAGATAATGTTTCAGCTTCACTTAAACTTGTAACTAGCAGATTCATATGCGAACTTCTTTGTAAAAGGATCCTGACAACCTCCATCATATTAAACACTGCTCACAAAGCACTTCTTCCATTTAGGTTTTTAGGTGCCTTGCTCCTCGGCCTGACAATGACTTCTCATGTCTTCTTCCTTCCTAATTTGCTTTCTGCTTGCCTTTCCAAATGACAAAGGAAATCATTCCTACCCCCATCCTTCCCCAAATTCAATGCTAACATCAAACACCGAAAGCAAGAGAAGGCTGAGAAACCACATCAGATGGCCTGCTTTGCTGCCCAAGGATATTGCCGTCATGTTTCTTAAAGCACAAAGGAGTGGCCTTGTTTGAAAGCTTGGTGGCTAATAAGCCACTGATGGTTCAGGGACAGACTATTCACACTGATGATATGAACCAAACGCAAAACAACTCTTAAGCCTTACTCTGACATGCAACATTTTCTACTCACCCAGTCCAAGACACAGTAGCTTTAACTCCTTTTTTCTTTACCTACGTCATTGTCCTTACAGGGCCTCCTAGGAATGACAGTATGCCAGGGACTCTTTCCAAACACTACTTCTAAGTCACCTGGACAAACAGTAGGCCACCACCAAGCGACAGATGTGGCCTGTGTCCTTGGTGCACCTTGAAAAGGCCTGGCCGACCCTCATTCCCCAGGCCTGCTTACAAACCCTCAGCTCTTAGACACTAAAGCGCCAGAGCATGCTTTGCCAGTGCACACCTTTACCGGCGATGTGTCCGAAGTTGGCCTGGTGTTGGCTCACGTGGCTCACGGAGCCAGTGCCTGAAGGGGCCTGCTGCTGCTGGTCTGGCCCCTGGTGGGGGCCTGGGACAGGAGCCTGAAGCACAAAGACCCACAGGCCGCACGACCTGGCTTCCTGCCTTCCCCTGGGCCAGCTCTCCCGGGACCCCGCCACCAACATCACAGCCTCTGATCCCTGAAACCCCACACCTCCAGGAACCCAAAGGCAAGAGAGTTGGGGTCCTCTGACCATTTCTGTGACAGAAGTTCTATCTTCTGAAACATTCATTTCGTGCTGAAAGCCAGTGAAGTGACTGCTCTGAACTCTTAATGGGAAATATTAATAGAGAGTTTGTTACAGGTGAGTATTAGAATGGGGAACACGTGATCCTAAAGCAGAGTTGGGTTCCACGTGGTACCTGTATTTCAGTGGGATTCCAAAGTGCAGACCAGGCTGCTTCTGAGAGGTGACAGCTGGGAGCCGACCCTAGTCACATAAACCATACCAAACACAGGACGCCCAGCGGCCGCCCGTCGGCCCCTCGCAGTGCTCCTGCACCGCGGCTCTCTGGCAGCTGAGAGGTAACAAGTCCCTTTAAAGGTTCGTTTGGTATTACTTCTCTTCAAGTAGTATTTCCTGAGATTAACTTTCCTGGCAGAAGTGGAATCAATGGAGTTTTCACAATAAGCCTTTTAATTTATCACTGAATTTCTTAAAAAAAAAGGAACACTGTTTATATTTATTTATTTTAAATGTAAAATGTTAATTTTCATTGAATTTATTGGGGTGACATTGGTTAATAAAATTATATAGGTTTCAGGTGTACAATTCTATAACACATCACCTGTGTATCATACTGTGGTGACTACCCCAAATCATGTCTCCTTCCACCATCACCGGAGTTGTTATGCTCAAATGGAAGGATGCTTTTAGATTTGCTGGACTTGTGTTGAAATGCAAACTGGAATATTTAGAGATACTTAGATTATGTCCATATGACCACTTCACATGTCCTAAAAAGATGTATGTTATATAAACATTTCCTAAGGGGATAAATCAAATATAGCCCTAATTAGGACCCTCATTTTCCCAATACCATCTATAGCATACGTACATCACACTCACTCCGTGTGTGTATTGAAGCAGTCGTTCTCCTGTACGGACTCCCTGAGACACCCTTCCCATGGCCCATGAAAAGCAAACGTGAGCTGAGCCTGGCAGATGTGAGGTCCAGCTGTGTCAACGTCTTCAGGAGACACACGCGTGCAGCTGTCTGACATGAAACCAGACACCTTCCATGAAACACGACTGATGTCATGGCTGTGGTTTTCTTGTCTTACTGCTTTCCTACATGTGAGCTAAGATGGGATTTCTATGTAATATTTACAGATCATCTTGCCTTACTTTTAAAAATACTTTTAGATGGGGGTGAGTAGGGGAAGATTTTCTATCAGGGAAGTGGGGAAGCCAGGTGCCTTAAAAAGCTTTCTGAAGTATAGATAAGACTAAGAAAAACCCTGGAGGTCTGTACACACCCAATGGAAAACCACTTAAAAGAAGAAATAGAAGGCACAAACTCTGGATTAAAAATGCTTGTAAAAGACTGTGACATAACTACAGCTGACAAAGCTCACACCCAGGTCTTCCAAAGTCCTGCCCTAAGTATGCGGTCACGTTCAACCGCTCCAATACTGCGTACCCGGCACTCCGCCACTCCTCCGCACGCCTACCTGAACGAGGAGAAGAGAAGGAAAAAGCAGACAGACTTGATGCTGCAGAGCAAGCGTTTAGGACTGGGAAAGAAGTGAAACAGAAAACCAAACGCTGCTTCCTCAGAACCACCACCTATGACATTCACATTTCCGGGAGGAAGTTAATCGATAGTTTGTGAGTAGAAAACCACATACCACCACCACCAAAAAAATCATTATATAACTCTGCAAAATAACAACTAAGGGTTTGATTGTGTGCCCCCTTAACTTTATAAGCACGTTAGGCCCAACTTTAGAGAAACTAAAATACTAATATAACAATTTAACACAATAAATTACAGTAACTATCCACCTATTCAAACAGCAAAACAGAACAAAATTTACACAAGTGAAAATGTCCCTAACGTAAACAAATATAGACCATCAGAACTTGAAATATCACTAGAAGGGACATTGTGTGTTTTAATCGGGCTCAGACCCAAACAGAAGAGTTCGGCAACCTGGACGGCCATCCCTGCAGTGGCTGCGGGTTCATTTCTTCAGTGTCCTTGACATTCACTTGGACAGAGGGTGACCGTCCATGTAAACAGTCCAACGTATCGGTCCCCTGTTGTGGACCCATGGCTGAGGAGGAGGAGCAGTCAAAGAGCAGCAGACAGACAGGTGACACTCAGCCCTAAGAAAGCAGCTGCGGCCTCTGGGTGCCTTGCTCAGGGCTTCCCGCCTGGTGGCTCGGGGAGGCTCTGGGCGGTGGAGCTGGCAAAGGTGGAAAGCCATGAAGACATGGCCGTCTTTGCGCTGGAGAGAGCTCCTCCCACCGACTGGCCTGGAAAGGAAGAAGGGAAGATCTAGAGGAAAAATGCCTTCGCATTTGTCAAGAGACAGAGAGACCAATGCTAAAGAACACATTAACTTATGGTGACATCGATATGTCAACAGTTACTAAAATGCCATTTAAATTTCTAGTTTCAAAACAATCTCTTTGCACAGGAAAGTCTAATAGGAAACCGAACCATTTCTGGGTGTAAGAGCCTGCTAGCTTGTGAGCATTGAGGTACTTGGCAAACTCTCTTGGTAGCACCTGCCGTGCTTGGCCAGTGGGTCTCGGCACTGGTTCTGCATCAGAACCGCTTGGAGAGCTGACCAAGTCCTCTGTGCTCCCTGTGCTCTGAACCTAAGCTGATGACTGAAAACCACACACAGGGAAGAGCGCTGGGCTGCTCTATGGAAGTTCGTGCTTGTCATCCAAAACGACGTTGCACTGAGTGAAGACACACAGAGTTCTCTCTGCCTCCGGTCTGTGTTGTTCTGAAGACATTATCTCAGAAGCTGATGCTAAAGTGGAATTATTAAACTACATCACATGCTCCCACTATTCCTAGAGAAGGGAGTATGGAAGAGAATGGACTGTAGTCTATGGCCACACCACCCTGAACGCGCCCGATCTTGTCTGATCTCAGATGCTAAGCAGGGTCGGGCCTGGTTAGTACTCGGATGGGAGAGTGGACCTTAGAATTTATATATCAGCTGCAGCATCATTAAAAATTCAGTGACAAATGGATCATATCCCTCTGATGAAGTGGAATTTTCTATTAAAAACAAGCCAAACGTGTAACGCTGTGTGGAAGAAAATGCTCCTATTCCATGTTCCGTTCCCTGGTAACAATGCGAACCTAGTGACAGGGCTGTGCACTCCACATCCGTCTTCCAAGATGAGTCTGCAGAGCAGGCTCCCACCCTGCCCATCTCTCGGGCGGGAGTCAGGTGTTTGAGCTACAAGGGCCCCTGTGCGGAGATCACCCAGCTGGGGGCTCCTGTTTGATAAGGGTTAGGTGGCTTCTCTCAGGAGCTACGTAAAGAGATGGGTCCTGTTTTTACATGTTGATGAGACAAAGCATATGTAAATAATTGGTGAATCCGAGATAATGAAGAATGCCTTGTAAAGTCTTGCACTATTTCTTTAAGTTTGTAATTATATAAAAATTAAAAGGTATGCTCTGGCTGCTGTGGCTCAGTGGATTGAGTGCTGGCCTGTGAACCAAAAGGCTGCTGGTTCGATTCCCAGTCAGGGCACATGCCTGGGTTGAGGGCAAGGTCACCAGTAGGGGGCGTGCGAGAGGCAACCACGCATAGATGTTTTTCTCCCTCCCTCTCTCCCCCGCTCTCTAAAAATAAATAAAGTCTTTAAAAACTTAAAATTAACATTAAAAGGCAAAAATATAGAAAAGAAGGTATAAAGAACTTTCTTTAGAATGGACATGAAGCAATCTTCAAAATTTTAAGTTAAAATAGATGAGTGCACGAGTCCACACAGCACAGACCACTTGCCTGGCTTTGGTAGCAGGGGACCTAGGCCTCACTGAACGAGTCAGGGGTCATTACCTCTTCCAAGACTTTTTGAAAGAGTTTATATAAAGGTAATTCAATTTATTCAGATTTTCTATTCATTATTGACTCAGTTTTGGCAATGGAGTCTTTCAAAGAATCTGTGTATTTTACCTAGGTTGTCAAAAAGTTGGCATGGAGTTATTTACGATATTCCCGTATTGTCCTTTTAACTCCTGTAATATCTTAGTCACGTCCTCTCACTGTTATTTATGAATAATGGGAGTTGGGGGAAGATTCTGGCAAAGCCCGAATCCTTTGGAAAACTGCGAACTCTTCAGAAAACTGTCACTCCCCATCAGATGTGGCAATATTTGCTCAGCTTTGATACTATCTGGTGCCACATTTTCTTTAAACAAGATAAAAATGAAAAAAACAACCAGCAGGCAAACCTCTGTATTCAACTACGGGAATTATCTTGCATTACTACGGGATGCACAGATCTCTCCGACTTTACACTGTTATCAATAACACATGCAAACAAGAGAAGGGACGTGCTGTGATGCCACCGGGCCCGGGCTGACGCTGTGCCTTACCAACAGCTTTTCCCGTTTGCACGACATTCCGGCTGGTGGTGACCATGACGCTGCCAATTTTTTTGCCACGTTCACTGTTTTGAACAGAACTGAGTGAAAGAAAGAAGCGTTAAATACAATTTAAAACAATTTCTTTCCCCGAAACACACCACTCTATAACCACCTCCAAATGGGAATTATTGAGAAAAGCAGCTAAATTATTCATTATTTGTTATGTAGCAATTCATTTGCTAACCTTTCAGCATGTGAACTTCAGGAAATACTAAAAGAACGTGCAGATGAACCCTAAAGCCCTAAGGACTTAAGGATGCATGGTCACCGCCCACCAGTCAGGATCTGCTGAAGTGACTTCAGCAGGAATAAAAATGGCAGATCCCGTTATTAGTTCACACCCTTCCTCAGGGAACAGCAGTGTTTTCGCTTTGAAATGCACACACTGCTGAGCCAGAGACTGTCATGCACATGTTTGGTTGCTATTTGAAGCTCAAGTCTATCAAGGGGAGAAAAACAATTCCCAATTAGCAATGGAACACATGGCATGCATTCAAATGTAAGAATTTTCCTAGTATTTTCCTGAAATACTCACTGTGAGAATCTTAACTTCATGTCTGACACCGAGTACTGGCCTTGAAAAGGGTGGCTGTAAAACAGAGTTTGAGTTTACACTGTGAGTGTTTCACCAGTGCAGCCGAGAAGCACAGGAGTCGCATGGGAGTGTCCGCAGACCCGCAGGTCGGCCTGGTGGCACTCAGAACCTGTGTCCTCACTCAGAACCTGTGTCCTCGGGGCTTCGATCGCAGCTCTCCGCTGGCACTAGGGGGAGCCTTCCTGAGTTTATTTCCTCCGGGGTGAACTAGGTATTTTTCCTAGGGTGGGTGGGGGCTGTTTTAGCAATGCTGATTTATGTGGTCAGGGGTGGGGCCCAGGCATCAGCATTTTTTAAAAAGCTCCCAGGGCAGTCAGGGTTAGAGTTAGTGACTTGGGCCCTGGCATGGACTTCACCTTGATTCTGGCTGACTTCTACATGTGCTGTTGGCCATACAAAGATCTGTAGACAGATTAGTGAAATCTGAACTTTCTTTTAGAAAAGCAACTCAAAATGCAGGTCTTCAACCTGGCTGGTGTAGCTCAGTGGATTGAGTGCAGGCCTGCGAACCAGAGTATCGCGGTTCTATTCCCAGTCAGGGCACGTGCCTGGGTTCTAGGCCAGCTCCCAGCAGGAGACGCATGAGAAGCAACCATACATTGATATTTCTCTCCCACTCTCCTTCCCTTCCCCTCTAAAGAGAAATAAAATCTTTTAAAAATAAAAAATAATGCAGGTCTTCAAAACAGACAAAAGGCAAAAAGTATATATATAAAGCCAGGCACCTTCACCCAAGTCACACTATAAAAGGATTCCACAAACACCCATATTCTTATTGCACCCCCAGGTGGCTCTCAGTCGATGTCTGACCCAGTAAGTGACCCTTGTGAAAACTATAGCAGGTCATAAAAACATCAAGATGCTACTGATGGCTTTTCAAATGACAAATTTCTTTCTTGTCCACAGGAAGCATATCGATAGCCTCCTCTCTTATCTTCTGGAGATTACTGAATCATTCTTGATATTCCTGGAAAAGCTGTGTTTGAAGGATGAAATGGACCTGCTCTCATTCAGGGCAGTGAGGATGGCCTTCCCTGACCTTGTGGAGTGGAAGAAAGGGTGTACAGATCTCAGCTCACAGGTAGTTCGCGATATTTCCAAATTAGAGACCCTGGTGACAGTCGAAGACTATCATTTCCTGTTTTGAATATGGGGAAAACTCTGAAACTCTGCTGATTGGCATAGCTGCACAATTTCCCTACACATGTATTTCAGGTCCTTCTTCAGCTTCCTCTTCAGTCTAAATAATCTCAACTTTTTTACACACTTTAAAAAGTATTAAAAAAATAAAATAAAAAAAAAAGTACTATTTTACAAACTTCACAAACCTATTCCAGTTAAGCCTCTTATGGACTTGGAATAACATCTGCAGAGCTGGTTCAGGTTAAAGGCATGGCAGCAGATGTCTGACTGGATAATGACCTCACCGGGTCACTGGGGCCACAGTGGGAGACAGCCCCCCTGTGCCGTGCCATGGACCATCACGGCGGGCCCCACCCCACCCCAGCGCAGCCACAGTGATGCCGCTGGCAGACAAACTCCCATCTGTTTCCCTTCATCACCCTCCAGACCCCAGAGCCTGTGGTTAGCGAGGGAGAACACTTTGAACCTGAGCCCTTTCATTTAATACTATTAATGTTTTTGCCTTTTAATTTTCTGTGTTTTCACCACATTCAAATGGCAACACAGGTTTCTGGTATAGTTCAGTAGGAAGACTAAATTCACCAAAATTGGTGCGGAACCCAGTAATTTTTCTGATAGATGATATAAAGTTTAACAGACACATTCTCCCAAACCCTGCTCCACCACCTCCCTGTTCTGCGTTGGGGGCATCTCCTGTCCAGCAGGGCTGACACCGTGCCCCCGGGCCAGCTAAGTTAACCCCAGCTTCCCAATAAGATGGCAGGTCAGGACCAAGTGGATTTGTGTCCAGTTCCTACCAAGAAGTAAAAGTTTAAAATACAAGGGAAAACATTCAGTGTGTACTTGTATCCTAAAAAACCAAACATTTTAACTTTTAATTTAGAAAAAATAAGGTCCCAGCCTGTGCACACTGTATCAATTGATCCCCTGAGGCTCTGCTCGGCTCCCCTCACACACAGACGGCATTATTTCAGGACGGCTCCTCTCCGCGGCACGCTGAAATGTCTTTGCTGCCGCCGTCTCTGTGCAGTCAACATTCAATATTGTGACAGGAATTAAATTTTGTTGAATTTTAGATTCTGACGTGGAAGCTAGGCTTGACCACATATCTAGGAGTTCAAACATCAACTTCAGTTTATCGTACTACATGTTTCCAGTTTAAGCAGGGCTTATTTCTGCCTTGTTGGACCATCTGCCACAGTGCAGGCCCGGGGGAGGGGGAGAAGCCCGCTCTGCCCCCTGCACCCCCCCCCGTCTGAACCTCCCCGAGGGCCGGGAGAAGCATCCGGGCTCCCAAAGCTGCTTCACGCTTTTTGTGAAAACTGTTGTGAAACAGTTTTCAGCAGCTTCTCTGCATTTGCAAGACTTTTATCATCTACTTCAGGAGATCCCTGAAGATATCCACAATGCCGTCCAAGTTAAAGGAGGATGTCCTTTGTCTCGGGGCTTGGGAGTAAATGAGGCATTTTGGGTTCTATCTGTCACCTTCCGAGAGTGTGCTTACTTCGGATTGATCTTGGCCAGGGCTGGATGCCTGTTGCTGTTCCAGACTCTGTAGTTGTGAGTGTTCTTCCATGCCATCACAAAGGTTGTCCCATAGTCTGCAAGCATCTTTTCGTTATCTGTCAAGTAAATGCATGAAAGGGGAGCTGGACTGTAGCCAGTCAGGGGTGTGGAGGTGTACAAACAAAAAAAGAGTAAAGGACAGCTCTACCCCTCCTTCCCCGGTTTGTGGGGAAGGTGGTCTACCAGCTGTCAGAAACTTGCATCCAACTCCAAACATCCTGTTTAGAACCTGTGTGGCCTTTGGCAAGTCGGTTTAATCACTCAGAACTTCTCTGTCTGAGGGGTAACAAGTGACTTTTCCCTAATGAAAGCAGACCTCTTACACAATTCAGAACATGACCGTGGTTAGGAACACGTGCCCCTCACCTAGCTGCAGCGTGGCGGCCAGCAGGGCGTGGATGTAGACCGCAAACTGGGCTCGGATCCACTCGTCCCCGCCCTCCCAGCCCGTGCCGTCCAGGAAGACGTCCTCCCTGTTCTCGGTCACGTGCCGCACCAGGTAGTCTGCGAACCTGAGGTCAGCCGTGGTGGGGTTGAGCAGCTTCCTGAGGTCGGGGTCGTGGATCTGAATGAGAGCCTCTTCCACCTAGGGGGCACGCAGGTACAAGTCAGAGTCTGGCATTCGGGCGGACGTCCGCGCCACGCCATACAGAGTGCCTGCTGGGGAGTTGGAGTTGGAAATAAAGATACGGATGACAATGGCATTCTCGGAAGGCGAGTCTGAGAAAGAGGACTTTACACTGAAGGATTTTTCTTTCTATATTTAAAAAGTACTGTTTCTAGTTTCAGAAAACATATGCATAAGTGTTTAATTTTGAATTATAAAAGTAATTCATGTTTAGTGTACATATTTTAGAAAACACAGAAATGTGTCGTATCATTTTATCATACAACCAGAAATGAAGACAATTAAGGAGAATTCCTACAATTTTTTCCTTTGATTGAGAAATACTCCAGAGTATTTTTTTTAGTAACATTTGAAATGCAATGAGAAGTATATGTAACTTACAGGTCAGTTTTGAATCATAATAAAGCAAACACCCTTGAATTTGCCAACCAACCTCAGAAGTAGACAGTGACCAATACTATTGCAGCAACTCTGTGGTTCTCGCCTCTGCATCCTTCTGCCTTGGAGAGTCTACATATATTTTCCTTCCTCAAAATTGGGATCATAATACCTAAAGCTTTGAACTCCTGATTTTTAATTTGTATGTTATAAACATGTCCCCAGGAAGCAAGTTCTGGTACCTTCTAAAAACCCTAGTTAGGATGGCTTGAATTCCCTCCCCACCCTCTTATAAAATGACTTCAACTGTAAAATTAAACAAATGATTTAAATTTCTTACATATTGATGATAAGATGTTAAATATTTATCTCTGGCACCTTGTTCTTGATACCAGAAGCCTATCTAACAGGCAAGAAGTGGAGCATTTACATTATCTGAACAATAAACACACTTTAATTCTGAGACTGTAGTGGGCCCAGCTGGCCCGGGTCAGGATCCTGGCTCACCCACTATCTTGCTGTCTGACCTCTCTGTCCCCTTGCCCCCGCAGGTATCAAACAGGGACAGCCGCGATACTTGTTGCACAGGTTGTCATGAGAATTATTAGACCAGTCGATATACCTACGGTGCCTAGAATGCCCGGCACAGGGAGCAACTCCTAGCCCTCTCAGTGCCGGTACTAAGCCCTCATAATTGCACTTCACAAAGAAAACAGGGACCAGCGGTGTCCAGGACACACAACTCACACGGAAACCTACTTCCACAATGGCGTCACTGAGGTGTTTCTGTTGTCGAAAAAGGATGTTAGTAGCTCCAGCAACAAATCCCCGAACGGTGACGTCAGAGAGAAGGTGATGCTGCTGCAGAGCCATGTAAGGCAAGCACAGATAGCCCTATGGATCACAAGAGCAACAGAGAACGTTAGACGGGCGCCAGAACACTCCCTCTCTTCCAGCCTCTGCAGAGAGCTAATCGCAGGAAAGCAGACTCCCGATTTCCTCCCACCTCCGCACCATCCAGCATGCTGCTCATCTTGGGCTCACTTCCGTAGTGTGCCCAGGGACCCTCAGGCCATGATCCCGTGAAGACCAACTGCTAACCCACTGCCCTAGTCACCAACTTGGCCAAGGCAGTCTGGCCCGAAGGTTGTCTCCTGGGATCACTTTGTTCTCCATGCGACTTAAAAGCCTCCATGGCAACGAACAAACTGGACTTTTTCTTTTAGGAACTGAAACATTAAGCCCATTGAAAAAGAATGTCATTTGGTAGAAAGCTGTTAGTTCTTCCAGTAAAATTTTAAAACACACGCATCTGCGAGCCATCGCCAACGTCCTCTTATGAGAATCGCAAGCATGATAAGCATGTTTTATTGCCCTCTTGTTAAAAATTATGCAAAAATATTTCAAGATGTTTGCTCCTAAATGTTTAAAGCAAAAATGACACTTGGCAGCAGTTGAGTATTTAATTAATTTCCCTTTGACTTGTGTTTGAAAATACCACTCCCCTGAAAATTACAGCTGAATTGCCAAACCAGAGCAGGCAGTGTAGTGTAAAAACAGGAGTGAGTTTCCTGAGAACAAAGGTTTTAACACTGGAATGAACGTGGAGGATGTGGAGTTTCTGCCAAGACTCTAAGTCGAGACAGATTTTCAACAGGTGGCACAATTTGTATATTGAGCCAGGAGGCCAGGCTTGCTGAACCCCAGAATTTGTTTTCAATTTCAAGTTCTATGACACTGTTATTTATTTGTTTTACTTCCCATCAGTTTTCTAAAAACACTGAACTACTGTTATCCGGATGATGTCTTGTTTCTGTCTCAAGGTAAGACTCTGAGGCAGGAGCTAGCCCTTTTGCTAATTCCTGTTCTTCACTGCAGCTAGGGTGCGCCTTGTATGTAACAGGTGGTTGATTAAATACATAATACGGGAGAGAAGGCTTCCCAAAGATGGAATATGGTTCTAGTCACTTGGTTTCCTTCTTATTCTTGACAACATCTACCTCTACTCGGTAACAAGCTAATTAACAGCAGCCAATAGAAAGCCACATCTATGCATCAGAGATATAATACAGTGCTTCTCAACCCACGCCCTCTTGTGACGAACAGCTGAAAGGACCCTTGCTCCTCCTCCAGAAGCAGAACCGCTGGTTCAGGGCTTAGGGTTCACATTTTACTTTCTGCGATATATATTTTAAAACAACAGGCTCCCCTCTCCCAACTACCTGCTTCCAAACATAAATATTTCAGTATTGAATGCACTTTCAAACAGAATACTCACTCCCCCAGCTAGAACTGAGAATCCTTGATAAAGCTGCTCTCAGATATTGCCAATTATTGCAGAAGATTTGTCCTGCAGAACAGCAATCAAAAAATTTAATTGCTTCGTAAATAGTATTACCTTCGTAATTTATACTGTAGGAGAAAAAAATATTGTCAACAATGGAATCTTGGCTGAGTCTATAAAATCATGAAAACTCTGAAAAATGTTTTTTTTTCAAAGCAATAGTTCATTGCTTCTTGGCCTTTTATCTAAGCTCCAGTGTAAGAATCAACAGTTCAAAGCTTTTTAAGGGTATGAAAAAAAATACATTCCTTAAACATAATTTATTCGCACTCTTTGATCCAGCATTCTACATCTTGTAATTTATCCTACAGACATACGTGCTTGTGTGTGAGATTTGCAAACAGGTATATGGTCGCATCACTGTTTATTATGGCAAAAGACTGGAATCACAACTCTTCACGAACAGGAAACTGACTAAACATTCGTCTACACCAATGATATCCCTGTATAAGGAGTAATGATGTCCACCGCTGATGACCAGTGTGCAAAAAAGAATAAGAAACGTAAAGGTAGGGACAGTGTGCCACCACTGGTGCCCAAAGGGAGGGAAAATGACCATGCACTGATTCGTGCACGCGCCACCCCGGGAAGGGGACAGGAGACGCTGAGGACGCTGGCTGCTACCAGAGAGGGCGGACGGGCAGCAGGGGCCAACAGGATGATGGGGAGACTTAGGACAGATGCTTTGGAACCGTTTGACTGTCGAACCATGTAAAAATATGACACATAAAAGTATTTAAAATAGTTCAACATAGCTTAACATTTTGACATCATTACTTAAAAAAAACAAAAAGATGATCCAATGAGCCTAAATCTCTTAATGATCTTTAACATACAGCAGCAGCAAGAATATGGGTCCTTTCACATACAGCAGCCTCTCTATCTAAGCCGACCCCACGCCCAGTTTTCCCCTCTTCTAGGGCACATCAGCTTCCATGTTTGGAGCTGTGGTGTGGAATGGTAAAAAGAAAATTGAGAACACATTTCAATTACCCATGGTAATCGGAACATGGTAACACATACCCATGTTCATAGTAGCACTACTCAAATAGCCAAAGCAAAAGCAACCCTAATGTCCATTGAAGGATAAATGGATAAAGAAATGTGGTATACACAAACACTGGAACATGAAGAACAACAAGAAGAGGGTATGGCTCTTCTCCGCCTGACGTGACACACGTGGTAACTGACACAGAGTGGGGCCACCCCGGGGCAGACAAATACACCAAGGGAATACCAACGGGGAAGTCCAGAAACAGAGCCTCTTCCTCGACCACACACAAAAGTTAACTCCAGGTAGGGAACCAGAATATGAAAGTCAAAATTATAAAGATAATTTAGGAGATTGCTTTTGTGACTTTGAGGTAAGGGAAGATTTCTTAGATAAGACCCCAGAGTATTAACCATAAAATAAAGGACTGATAAACAGAAAAGTCATCTAGAATATACGCAGCCCCACAAATTAGTGACAACAAGGGAGACAATCCGGAGCTTTGAACAAATACTACATTTGCACTACAAATACTACACAGAGGGAATCCAAATGGTTAACCAGAATAGGAAAAGATGTGCTCAGTTACTGAAAAAGATGCCAGCTCAGAGCTGCAAGATACCATGGGATTGTCATTAAGAGGTCTGACGATGCCCAGTGCCGGTGAGACAGAGGAGGAATAAGAACTCCTGCACATGGCTATGGGAATGAACTTGTCACGGCCACGTCAGAAAGCCCAAAGGTCAGGAGCCTCCAGTCCCCGCGCTCCACCCTCAGCACATGTTCCTCCAGACACTTCCTCAGTGGGCTCTCAGGAGGAGCATCTTTTAGAATCTGCTATGGCATTTGTACGGTAAGCCTAGTCTCTAAGACTCACAGGAAAGGCATCATCCTGGGCAATTCCAAGTACCGGAGAGAAGCCTGGACCGGACCTGACGGTTTTTATTAGGGAAAAATCTGTTTCCATTTATTCCTATGCTGAGTCAGGAGACCAGTCAGCTTATTATTCTCTGCAAAACTCACTATCCTACTTCAGCAATATTCTCCGGGCATCCAAGCTTCTCTGCGGCTATTTTTGAAATTACTTTTTGAGATGTTTCACTAACCTAATTCCTTTTGTACAAGCCTTTTAAGATTTTCATGAGAAAGGGAGTCTGAGGACAATTCACATTGAAGAATATTTCATATTCCAAAGTTACTGATATTAAAGAATCAGCATTTGTATTTAAAACATGATTCAGCAGCAAATTAGACTGTAATCAGTACATAACAAACCATAAAAGCAAAATGAAAAGGGCTTTATTTACCATAAGGATGGTGGTGAGCCCCTCACACACTCAGTGCTAGTACAATGCACACAACTGGATCACTCCGTAAACAAGGTTTATGGTCGGCACACGAAAGGTACATTTACAATTCTCTGCTTAATTCAGCAACCTCGCAGAGAAACACAAAGTCTCTCCCGGGTTCCGCTACCTCTCGAGAGCTCCATAATGATGGAAATGAGAGGTGGGTGCGCGAAGCAGCAAGATAAGGGCTCTGAAAAGGACAGGGAGTCAGGGCACCTACACGTGAGTCTAGAAAACCCACAGTTCCTGGCTGCTGATCAAACCCTGTGTTTCCTCCCCAGGCCCCTAAATCCCAGCTTTAAGAAACTGCAGCCATCAACTGGGAAACCAATCGAGATAATTTCAGAGTCTGCCAAGGGGCCACAAGATGAACAAAGATAGGATTCTCTGTTAACTATCCAGCAGTGCTGACTTAGGGCAAGTCCCTGTCTGTAAAGTTGGATAAACCCAGAAAGGATTTACGGCTGAGTGTGGCAGAGGCAGAAGCACACGTTCAAGTCTATACTGCACATCTTCTGCAGTCATTACTGGGAAGGTGTGTCTGTTTTTGCCCGGTAGATGGCAAGATCACAGAGGCAAGGATTTAGAGCCTGGTATGGTGCCGGGCACACAGGGCGGCAGTGAACGCTGGTCGGTTAAGGAAGGAAATGGTGTGTCTTTTTTCTGCTCCATTTTGAAAAATAATTCAGGAATGGCAAAGAAATAGTTCATTCTGAACAGAAGGAAAAAATCCAAAAAGTCCAAACAGCAATTCCAGAATCTTAATGTATTGTATTACTGACATTAAGACATGACATCCTGGGAAATAAGATCTTGAATCAAAGATTGAATTTGATTTACTATCAAACTTTACTTTAAAAGTGAAATATTTAACTTACTTTAAAAAAGGATTAATAAATAAAAATTGCAAATACATTTTGAATGGTTTTTCATAAAAAGATGAAAAAGAATAGATTATGGGCAAGTTACCAAAACACAGTATTATAACTACGAGCTGTAGTTACTAATATTTAACTTAGCCATTTCAGCAGTTTTTCCAGCAACTTTTGGAATTGTAGTATTTGATATATATACATTCAGTGTAAGCTCGGCTGTCCAGAGTTTCTCAATTCATCTTTTTTTCAAAGAGAAACCTGAATGATTAAAAACACACCCAGTCCAGTGACGGCTGACCTCATATTGCCTAAGTTTCCAAATTCTTTCCCATCAAAACCACTTGAATGACTTCCCGATAGTCTTACACTCCAGTCAGATGCCATAGCCATACACATTTGGTTCGTAGTTCCATTTTCAAGGAAAACCTTCAGATCTGAAAATGTGCCCATACTAACAGTAAACTCTGAAAGGGTTCTGTAGGATCCGTAAGGACATCAGGCTTTACCTTTGTGAAGATGGCCAGCGGCATGCCATACTGGTCCTCCTCCAAACCGGAAATGAGCCCCGGCACCAGGACTGCCTGGCCCATGTTTGCCTGCGGCTGCACAGTAATCGGAGGGCTGTCGGAGGGCACTGCCTCCTTTGGAAATGAGTTTGTCTGCTCCGACCCGACCTGCTCCCTTTCTTTCAAGGCGGGGTCCTCTAAGACACTAGGGTCCAAGGTCTCCCAGTCACTCTCTGAAGACTCCGGAGACGGCCGAGAAGGAGGTCTCAAATACCGATGGCTGTCACGGAGCTCCTGTCCTTGGCTGCTGTCTTCTATGGGAAACAAAGGCTCTTCGGTCTTGACGGCAGCATCTCCCCTGTGGTTTCCTGTCACGATTTTCTTGACAGCGTCCGAGTTGGTATTTGAAATGTTAGAGGCAGACACGGGAACAAAATCATCTGCGGGGTTGTTTTCCTGAAGCCCAGCATCTTCAGACGTACTCTTCCGGGGTCGGTACTGCGAACAGTCACTGAGACCGTGTTCGATCATGCCTGCAGCATAGAAGAGTGGAGACAGGCTTGCTTTATCATGAGGTAGGAGAAAGACTGGTACATTCTGTTCTAAACTGCAGAACTCTCCTATAAAAATTTTTAAAAAGCTATGCTGGCATATATTCCAATGAAAAATAATAAAAATTTCACACAAAACAAAAAAAACCTATTGCTAAAATGGAAATGTCATATTAAAATAGAAACTGCCCCTGCCTTACCTGGAAAGAGGGACAGCACCGTCATGAGGGCTCCCACCAATTTGTTCACGGGAGAAATATAAAAGAGAACCTGGAATGGCATCAATGAAGATCTAATTAGAAAATCTGAGTCCACAAGGATACTTTAAAAAAAGGGGTGCGGGAAGAGAGGGGAAAACTCTTCTTGCCAGAAAAAGAATAGCTAATAAGTATAGAACTAATGATGGAATTAGAAAATCACCAAGCACCCATCTTCATTCAAGTGAAAGTCACCAGTGGACACTAAAACGATGATGCAAGATTGTTGGGCAGCGGGATGTTCACACAACTTCAAATTTGCCATCCTCCAGATGACCCGTTCACTGCACAGGGAAAACCAAGTACCTTAGTGTGAACGAATCTGGCAGCCACCACTTCATCAAATGATTAAACTCACAACATCAACAACAACAGAACAGTTATGGGCCTCCTGATGTGACACACGCTCGGGGCACACCATCACCATGGTCCCCAGATTGAAAAAAAACAACCAGTTTATAGGACATTATTATGACATATGGGGACATTAAAAAGTGAACTTCAGTATTAAGTGTCATTTATTGTATTAACGTTAAAATTCTTGAATGTGAAAATGGTATTTTGGTTATGTAGGCCTATATCCCTTGTTCTTAAAGAAATATATCCTGAAGTATTCAGGGATAAAGTGCCATGATTTCTACAAACCACTTCAAAGTTATTATGACTGGGGGTAAACGAACATATGTAAAGCAGAAGTGGCAAGTGTTAACTGGCAGATACAGTAGAGGATGTAAAAGTGTTCACCACCATATTCTATCAACTTTTCTGTAGGTTTGGTAGTTTTCAGAATAAAAACAGATAAAAATTAATATGAAACAGGATTCAATTAGATACTGCACTAAAACTAAAACTGGTAATAATTAAATTAGTTGGAAAAAAGCCAAAGATTTGCTTAGGTGAATTTTTTCTTTTTTAAACAATTAAATCACTTAATGACACTAACGTGCTATTTCACAAAGCACAGCGCCCATAACTGTGTTCCCTTACACATTAGTCTTGTTTAAGGGGCAGCTTGCAACTAAGAAACCAAATGCTGCATTAAAGAACGTCCTTATTTTATTAAACCAATTTAAAGAGTGTGCCTGTGATCTGACACATTAGATAATGTTTACTTGACCATAAACACCACTGCATGTAACTAGGCTAGGCATTCTTTTGCAAAACTTTTGTTTTAGATACATATATCCATGTATGTTCTAGGCTGCAAAGTATAGTATTTTTTATAACGGGTTGCAATAAAAAAGTGTGAAACCTACAACTTGACAACAAAAAACTAAACAACCTGATTAAAAAATAGGCAATGGATTTGAACAGACGCCTCTCTGGTAAATGGGTAACAAGCACATGAACAGGCGCTCAGTCGTACCAATCACTAGGGAAATGCAAATCAAAGCCAGGAGATATTGCCTCACCCAGCAGGATGGTTACCATCACAAACTGGGAAGATGTGGAAAGATTGGAACCTGTGCTCTATTGGTAAGATGGTAAGATGGCGCACTGTCGTGGAGAATAACACGGTGGTTCCTCGGACTTCAAACGGAACTGCCGTGCGATCTGGCAACGCTCCTGCCGGACGTACACTCTGAAGAACTGAAGGCGGAGCTGCACACCTTTGAATGGCCCCCAGAACAGGTAGTGTGCATTTATACTTATAGGACAGTGACGAGGATACGGATGCCGCTCACCAGTTTGATAAGTAAAAAATTATACTTTATCATTAGTTTGAATTTTATATAGTGTTTAAGAAATGTCAATAAATGTTAAATATCATTCCCTTCAGATCTCACCTTTTTCTCAAGAAGAATTAATTTAAACAGAATTAAGACCTGAACAAAAAAAGAAATACTGTATTACAATATGCAAGCCTATTATTTATTTGCCTCCCCCCTCCTCAAACATACCATATATCATTTAATTGATGATATCTGTTATACTGCTTTAAAAATGCATTGGAAATTATGAACTTGTACTAAGCAATTAAGTATTATCCATCTGTTCTATAACACGTCAGAATCACTTCCATCTCTAACAAACTGTGCTTTTTGGAAGGAACTGTGCCATTTTTGCTTGAAATATTACAAGCTCCGTAAAAGGGCGGGAACTATTCATTTATTTCCAAATGTGTTCACAGCATTCACACAGCAGACACTCAATAACTGCTCATTAAATGAATGGCTGATGTATGCACGCCCCACTCGGCACACACTTTAGTACAAAAGATCGGAAGGAGCAAGGTCAGATATTGTACTGGAAAATGTTTCACTCTTAAGGCAACAAATAAAATATTCTGCATGATTAAAACAGGTTTCTCCCCACTCTAATTCTAATTTCTGAATAATGACATCTGAAATTACAAAGACAACTAAAAAGGTATTCTATCCCACGCCACCGTGAACGGACGGCACATTGTATATGTTTGGGAATTTCTCTCATGTGAGCTCTACCAACACTTTCAGTTCTGTGTCATTATGAGAGATGTCTTCGAAGAGATAAAACCTGGTTATAGCACAGTGTGCATTCGACCACACAGCACATGGAACCTGCCCAGTTCAATGAGCACAACTTTAGTACATCATAAGTTAAATAACATCGTAAGTTAAATAAGGTATCATACCTTGTGTCGAAAATGAAGCACAAGATCTCGAGGAGACAGACCTACAATATTAACAAAAAAGCTAATCTGTAACTACAACCTACTATTTTTGTAAAAAAAGTTTTTTCCCCTCAAAGGCAGATTTTTTAAAAAAGCAGCAACATGAAAATATTAAAATATTATGTAGTGCTTGATTAACGTACACATGTACTCAGGATGTATCAGATTATTATTAATGGTCAAGCACAGTACTACAATGAAGAAAATGTCCTAATTCTGGATTGTCCAATCCAGGAGCCACTGCACCCTTGAAATGTGGCAAGTGTAACTGACAAACTGGCTTTTGAATTTTACTTCGCTTTTATTCATTCTAATCTAAATGTCCATCGTCACATGCCATTAGTGGCCACTGCCGTGAACAGTGCAGCTCTAATGCGTTCTCCCCATCCTACAGACATCTTACAAATCACACCAGCTGAGAAATGACAGACCTCACGCTACAGTGGGAGTCAACCCTTTAAACAGGGCTTTCGGTCGCTACACTCCACAGGCTACTAATTCTGAATCACAGTCCTCTCTGATCCTTCGCTACAGGACAAGAGAAAATAATTTAGAGAAAAATATGTTCTCAGAATAGGAGTTTGGTAACCAGCTTGCATCTATTAGACACAGGACTGCAGCAGGGAACTACCTGTTGTACCACTTCGTGATGAAATAGGAACTGACTGGACATAAATCACTACATGATTAAAACTTTTCTTTTAATCATGAAAAGGAATTTACTGAGTACCCTGGACACTGAATGGTATTGTGGGCTGTCAAATAGCATAAATTAAACAAAACCGCCAACTTGACAAGTTTTTAAATAGAAAAGAGCTAAGCCGGTCTCTCTCTCACCCTGCCTCTGTTATGACAGGGAACAGGCCCAATCTGCATTGATGTAAGGAAAAGAAAAAAACTTTCACTGTTATTCCAAAAAGCAGAAATTTGCCTTATACAATAATAGTTGCAAATATTGGTACAAGTATGCGATAACCTTTGTCAACATGACTACTGGCTAAGAAGATGTTTAAGGAAGCAGCAGCAGCAAACGCTGAAGAATTTAAACCTCACACAGAGATGTAACTCTGATCATGAAGTTTTACATGTGGCTAACTCAGTGTACCAAACAAGAAGAAAGGCAGGCACTTCTTCTGACTTGTAGGCAAGCTACTTACCAAGATACACCTGGGAGCCTTCCAGCGACGTCCCTCCCAAGGAGCTGTTCATGTGCTCATAGAGTTCCTGTAAAACACAGATTCAGTGCGACATGTTACTGTATCCCGGACACTGGATGAGAAATAGGACGATCAGGAGCAAAGGGGTCCTTTAACGGAGGCTGTTTGTTTTTCCAGGCCCTACATTTAGAAACAATCAAGGTCTCTCTGAAAAGTTGTTGGCCCAGGCACTGCATCCGTCTTTTCCTCTACGTTTTAGACACTGATTCAGACACATGGTAGGCGGGATTCCTGGGGTAAATCCCCACTGCTTCCTCGCTAAATACCAGCTGTCCTGCTCTCCCTAGAATCCAGCAGAGAGCCAGGTTCTCTACATTCACAGCAGCCTTGAGAGAAACATATCCATTTCAGCAAAACGGTCGAGGAGTTTTGCTGGGCTTTGCAGTGCCTGTGAGGCTGGAGGGGCCCGATGCCGAGGCGTACTGAGCAGTGGGTGACCAAGATGGGCGGATTTGGGGAAGCAAGGCCATAGCCAAAGGGCCATTACCTTTCATTAATAGAAACATTTATGTTAGTTACCATCGTTTGCATTATTTCCCAATAAAAGACAGTTTGGTTAAATGTAGTAAGTATGAACTGCACATTTTGGGCAGATCCCTGCCGTTTCAACGTTATTCTCAGAGGTGATGTCTTTCTTCAGGTTGTCAGTGGTTACCCTTCATGATATTACCAATGAGATTTACTTGACACATGAATCTGTCTTCAGCCAAACACACCTATAGAGGGGTATACAGTTACCTTTAGAATGGAAATTTGGGAAAAATCCTTCTCTTCAAAATATGCATGCGTGATGAGCTGAAGTTTTGCTTGAAGTAAGCCATAGAGAGGCTTAAAGAAAAAAGAGAAAATCGCCATTAGTTTGGTAATAGTGAAACACAAATACCCCCTAGCCTTTTAACTGAAAGAAAACAGGAAGAGTTAGCGATGCTCAACTTTAGTGTCCCCCACAAAGAGCTGCTGAGCCACTAGGCTTGCCCGCTGGCAGCGTGGAGTGTGGGCCTCCTCCATCACTCAGCACACACTGGGCACTTTCCTTTTCCAGCCCCCGCCTGTGCGCCATTGTGTACATGGGTACGTGAAAAGACAGACCATCCTATGGAGTTGTTTTCGGACTTAAATAACCAGGGAAAAGCACTTCATTGAGGATCTGCTGCACGGAAAGCACTTACATGTTAGCTATTATGATCCTGATTCAAAACATCATCTAAGTTCGCACACTGTTCTGTTGACTTGCAGAGGCATTTAATCATCCTTACAGCAGCCAGTTCTTATATCTAGGGAAGCAAGACTTCCTTTCCCTTCTCCGTCCTCTTTGGAGGCTCGCAAGGAGTCTGTGCCCTGTATTATACAATTTTTTTATATACTTGAACAAAGTTATTCGGTAGTTCTTAATCTCCCTATTTAAGACCCTCTTTTACCATTTCCATACTCTTATTCTTTTTTAAAAAAGATTTTATTTATTTATATTTAGACAGAGGGGAAGGGAAGGAGAAAGAGAAGGAGAAAAACATCAATGTGTGGTTCCTCTCATGTGGGCCCTACTGGGGACCTGGCCCACAATGTCCGGTAACCCAGGCATGTGCCCTGACCGGGAATCAAACCAGTAACCCTTTGTTTCACAGACCTGTGCTCAATCCACTGAGCCACACCAGCCAGGGCTCCACACTCTTATTCTTAATGTTCTTTACTAGATGTTTTTATGTCCCTTTTTAGGATGCAGAGACCAGTGCTGTATTTACATTCTAATTAGTTAAGACAGGTAATACTGGAATAGTTTTTCCTCAGTACTCCTGCCTCCTGTTACTGTGTCAGTACTACGCTCTCAGTATAACATCTCAGTGTATTGTAGTGCGCAGACTACAGTGCACTGGGAGCCCCGCCCCTCTGTGTGAGCTGGCTCTCCCCACCCCACGCCCGTTTACAGACGGATTCGGCTGGGCTTTCACCCCAAGCTTACCCTTCGTGGTTACATGTCTCCGAGAGACATCTTTTTCTCTCTGAAATATATCTTTATTTATAAAGTGAGAACACTAAATACTTATATCTCACAGTTGCCATGAGGATTAAAATGACAATTATATCTAAAAAGTGGTGCAGAATTAACATCTGACATACGGGCATTTGATCAATGAATGGCATCTATTGTTACTATAATTGTTCTTCAAAGGAGATAACTCAGTAAGCTTTTCAGCATGTTGCATTTGGTGTAATACCTAGCACTCCTGTGCTTTCTTTCCTTTGGTCTTCTGGCCCAGGATAAAATAAGTAATTCATTGTATATTCTTCTAGCTGCCCTTCTACACCTTGGTCAGATTAGCATCTACCAGTTTTCGGAGAGCAGGGTCTTTAATAATCATTCTTTTTTCTAGGAGACTGCTCTTGCCCTATGCTTAAATTTACTGTCTTGGAAGAAATATCCTGATCTGCAAACATTATTATCAAGGCCCACAGTATTAAATTGTTATTAGAGATTTTCTTTGCTTTATTTTTAAACTTAGTAATAAAAACCAAAATAAATTCTCTCTTGCAAAACTCAGCTCACACTAAACAAATTAAGTTTAAATTGTCTGTGTATATAGGAAATTGGATAACTGCAGAGGAAATAATTAAACAAAATCTATACACATTTGGTAAGTGGGCTATTAAAATATTCTCAATTTTGGTTTAGGTTAATTGCAGAAACATCTGTATTCAGTAATCAAATAGTTATTACTGAATAGTAATAAACATGATAGAGATCTGGGCTGTTCCCCACAAAGGAGTTTGGGGTGCTGTACATTACATGTAGGATTAGGTATTTGGTATTATTATCCTATTAGTAATAAAAGTGGAACCTCACAAATAATTTAATGAAGACAGCTATAAAAAATAAGAATTGTTAAAAATTCCTTTTAAAAATAAAATTGAGCCCTGACTGGTGTAGCTCAGTGGACTGAGCGCGGGCCTGCGAAACAAGGGATCATGGTTTGATTCCCAGTCAGGGCACATGCCTGGGTTGCAGGCCAGTTCCCAGCAGGGGACGCACGAGAGGCAACCATACATTGATCTTTCTCTCCCTCTTTCCTTCCCTTCCCCTCTAAAGAGAAATAGATAAAATCTTTACAGAAATAAAATTGAAATGACGATACACTTGCATCTGACCACCCTGTGCCCAGCAGAAACAATTTAAAGCACTGTTATAGTGCAACTGATCATGCTGTTCCCCATCCTCAGACATTTATGCTTTTTAAAGAGCAAGTTAAGGCTACAATTTTTTCATTATAAAGGAGCCATGCACTTCTCATGTCATCAATAAAATCTGAGTTTAATTATAATACTTTGAATTTTGGTGAAATATTATTCATTCAAAGTCTTGAGAACAAAACAGACATGGATAAATGAAATATGCCCACTCCCTCACTTGGTCCAGGGTCAGCCTCCTTCCTCATGGCCTGGCCACTATGGGACCTCCTTGTGGTCTATTCCTGGAAGAGGGGCAAGTGACAGGGGAACCGCTGCAAGACCAGGAGGGGGAGCCACTGATGAGTTTTAATGCATCGCTCTTTCCCTACGTCCCTCCTTATTCCAACAGTGCCGGATCCTCACATAATCATCTGCCGTGAAAGCTTAGCAAACACAAAGAGCGAGCGATCTGACCCTTACCAGCTTGCTGAGCACACAGACACTTTTTTGCACGGTCTCTCTGGTGACATCTGCTTGCCGTACTTTCAAAGCCTAGCAGAGAGAGCCATTATTAGAAACATTTCATCAAAATACTCAAAAGTTATTTTTAACATAAAGTTAGATAACATAACAATGAGACGGAAAACATTTGGTTAATCAAATTTAAGAAGTATTTACTGAGAATCTCAGAAAAAATTTAGTGAGTTGATGTCAGCTAGCCAGGGCCCCGTGTACTGGAACCTGGGTTAGCACAGTGAGGGGCGACCTCTGTCATCAGGAGTGTGCGATCTGACAGAGAATGCTTGACATGGGGGCTGCCACACTCAACTGTCATTGGTTTTGGTTGTAAAATGGGCCACCCTTTCAGGGGCCATCGCTTCTGGTCAGAAGGAGGTAGTGGAAGAGATGACAAAAGCTCCAGAAATGGAGAATTGTCCCCAGTTTTGTTAAGGCAGCTGTTCCATGATGCCTGGAGTCTGTTCTGGCTGACTGGTGTTGTAGTCCAGCTTTGGGCCTCCCTGGTTCTGAGGACGATGAACTGAGATTTCTACTGTTCTCCAGCAGTAGAAAATGAGCCTTAAGTAGGCCGACCTCAGATGAGGATGGCAGGGAAGTCTTCCCTTTCCAGTACTGCCTGAAGTCTCCTTGGAGTTGGATCTGACCTGAGGACCAGGGGGCCTCGGTGTCTTCAACTGATTCCGGACTAGTGGTTGTTAAGTCAAGAGTGGAGCCTTTCCTCAACCTCCTTCCTACCTCTCCATCTTGTCTGGGCTCATTCATCCGGTCCTGCCTTGTTCCCAGGGGATCAGCCTTTCTTTTAGGCTCTGAGCCCCTCTGAGATCTGGCTTATCTGTCTGGTTAGCAGATGAGGCCAGAAAAACCTGGAGAAAAGGCAACTCCAATACACTCTGGAGTGGCCAGACCCAGGGGTGAGGGAAACAGGCAGTTTGAAATGCCAGTGAAAGGCTACGCAGCGCATGAGAATGGCTCTGGATGCCCAGCTTTGCAGAATTAATTTTGCTAGTGCTTACACAGCCTGTAGGGGATAGACCTGGTAAAAGGAACAGCTTTCCAAGAAAGGCCAGTAGTAGCTCAAGTCATCTCACACGAAAGCACACAAGGGTAACAGTGTACGAGGAAATCAAAGGCACAAAGCTACCATACAGAGTATTCCCACCGCAAAACAAACAAACAAACAAACAAACAAATAAACAAACAGTGCTGCTCAGAAGCAGACCATAAAAGGGGAAGCTGAACTCAGATAAACTGCCTTGGTTTATCTGAACTCATCATTTAGAGCTATTATCCTAAGTCAGGCATTAAGCTGGCAGGTTATTTAAAAATGATCAAAATCTCAGTTATAGATAATTCAGACAATTTGAAAGTAGTGGGAAGCTACTATCAGTACTTTCTACTACTTCTCAAATGCTGTTTAAAACGACAACAAAAAACACTTATTACCACTCTATTTCTCTGATATACACCAGACACTAGAAATAGGAAATTCAAGGACACCATGAGATTTAAATGCAGTATTTTGAAGACAAATGAATAAGTTTGGTATCACTATCTGAAAATGATGTACAAAATATAACACAGTCATAATCACCAATATCAATTTATAAAAACATTCATATAAATAAATTCTTACTGTTGGGCAAACAGATGCAAACTGCTCACAAAAATTTAAAACCATATCACAGGTACCACATTAAAAAAAAAGACTATGTACTTCCCCTGAATTTACATTTTAAGTGGTCAACACCTAAGAAAGAATTTTCAAGGCTTTTTTTTGTGGTTCATCAAAACTACCTTACCTTGGCTTCAATTTGCCGATAGCAAGAGATACCATACACAGTGGCCCCATTTCCATTTCTGGGTGGTAAGTGAAAAAACACAGTATCTAAGAGATACACAGAAAAAGGGAAATACTAAAGTGAATTACCCTGATTAATGAAGAATGACATTTTTAGTTATTATAATGCAGTCATTCAAGACTAGAACGTAACAAGGAACCCAGGCCGCACTCACATCGCAACCACCCCTTCCTTCGAATCCCTGTCCCGGCCTCACAGTCCGCACCCACCACAAAAGCACAAAAGGCTGAACTGTAACCGGTCAAATTGAGACTACAGTCACTTACCTCAGAAAATACTTTATCAGTACAGGATTCTTCCCGATTAAAAGAAAACAGAATCAAAAAGCCAAAAGCAACACACGAATTATGAACAGATCCAAGAAATTCTTGGACAACTGAGGCAATGCGAACAGGGACTTGGTATCAGGTAGTATTACGGAATTACTGCCAAATCTCTGGGCTGTGATAAAGATAATTAAAGCTCTCCTGGGGACGAGCTTATTCTTTGGTGCTGAAGTAGTAAGTGAAAGAGTCGTGCTGACTTTCAAACAGTATAGGCAAAACCATACACAAACACAAAGAATACTGTGGAATATTTGCTATATCATTCTTTCAACTTTTCTGTTTGTTTAAAAGTATTCATAATAAAAACCATTAGGACAAGAGAATTTGAGAGGTTCTAATACTATATTTAAGTTTATTAACCAGCATAGTATCCTATGCTTCATTTCGTCGAAAATTATTAAATTTTAGGAAAGCAGGCACTCTGGCGAAGTTCAACCTAGTGTTTTGGGAGAGCCTCTAACACCAAGAGAAAATGTAGTCCTCCATGAAGCCGGTCAGTGCACTATCTGCAGGGCAGTAGGAGGCTCAGCACCAACCTCACAGCAGTGCTTTCTCTGAGGGTGTTAGTACGGTCGGCTCGCACACAAGCAAACGGTAGGCGGTGCACTGTGACAGCAATGGCCCCAGGGGGGAGGGAATGCCAGCTGTTTCCAGGAGGGGGCCCCAATCAATCTGCAGCCGGTGCAGGTGAGCCCTTTAGTTTGCCTCTGGGAGGAGTCTGCAGTATAAATGCAGGTAGTGCTACCAGCAGCAAACATCCTGATCTGGCTACTGGCTTCCTTTGGTCAGGCGCCCGGTAAGAGTGGCTAAGATCCACCAACCATTACCAGTGGAAGTCTGGCACTCTGTGGAAATCCCCCAAATGGGCACTTAAATATTTGATCAACAGTCACAATGAACCAAAGGCCTCTTGCTCACAAAGTACTTAGAATCAAAGATGTCCTGTCAAATTAAAAAACAACCCGTACTGATCGCTCCGAGGCCAGTGTACATACCTTCCTGGTAGTTGTGGGCGCCATCCGGTAAGGCAAGGAAGGGCAAGTACTTCCACTCTTCAGGTACAGTGTGGCTGTCGTGCCCCTCTCCTGCAATCAGGGGCGGGTAAGAGAACTCCACCTGAAACAACGAGAACGTCAGCCAAGAGATGGTTGATCAAAGGGAGAGTTCTATCTTGAAAGGCAAAAATGCTTTTAAACCCTGAAGGACAGTAGTAAGAAGCCATGCTTGTGGATGTCAGCTGATGTTATTGGCAAACCTATGGGACAGAAGGGGGAAAAAGAAAAGGACTGAAAGAAAGAAAGATGTGTACACTTTCCCCCTTGCTGATTTAACGGGGGGCTAAATTTTAATGGACATATGAGAGTAGTGGGAAGTGGAGGTAGCAACTGGATTGGAGATTCACATTTGGGAGGAGTTGTCATCAGATAGGCGGCCCCTGGAGCCCTGGAGCCCCGAGGACACCCGGCATCCTGTTGAACTGAGTGGAAGTGATCCAACAAAGGAGCCTGAGAGGGTGAGCCAGGATCTAGGTTTGCTCCCATCAACTGGCTCCCTCCTTCCTAATATTTGGAGCTTCAAGCTTATGGTGTGGAGGGGTGGTTGGGGGGGGGGTGTGAAGGGGCATTAAGTAACATTTCAGGTTATTATTTTTCAAGATTGAGAATTGATCGATGAAGGTTTAATGAAGTCTCTCCAACACTGTGTCTTGTGGAAAGAGCAGTTTTTAGTATATACACCCCAGTTTCTAGCATCCTGAAGGTTTATTAGCATTTTCTCTCTGCTTCTAATCTGTTATTTCAATGAAATCTTTGGAGAGGAAGGCAGCACAAAGTACTATTTAGCTACTTTAAAATTTATAAGTCAGTATTTATTCATATGGAAAGATACTAATGGCATGTTGTTACATAGAAAAGCAGGCCGTAAAACTTGATCACAGCATAATTGTTTTCGGAAATAAGTTATGTATATTCATAAAAATACCTGGAGCACTCTCCCCCTCCTGGGTGCACATTGCTGCCTTTCCCTCCCCCCACCCTTCCCCACAGGCACGTATTTCCTAAGCTCTAAGGGACCCCAGGAAACTTGCAAGCAGGGAAGCAACAGGCAGTGGCGGCTCACCCCTCCCCAGAACCTGCCCCCAGGCCCCTTTCTCTGACTCTCCAGGGAGCCAAAGCAGCCCTACCTAGGCCCTTCCATTGCTTCTTCTGCCATAAGCTCTTCCTTGTTTTACTGTCCCCAACTGTAATAAACGTGCTCTCAAAATCAAAAAACAACAAAATTGGAAGGATATTCCTCAAGGTGTTAAGAGCAGATTACCCTGTTGGGATAGTATAATGATGAGTTCTAGTTCTTTCACAATTCTATTTTTTCAGGAAGTACAGTCTGGTAAAACCAGTTATTTAAGGATTAAAACTGCTAGCTATGTATACAAAACTACAAATAGGAAAAAACTGGAACAGTGGTCCAAAGTCAAGTAATAGCCCTGGCCAGGTAGCTCAGTTGGTTAGAGAGCTGTCTTGATGCGCCCAAGTTGCAGGTTTGATCCCCGGTCAGGGCACGAGAATCAACCAATAATGCATAAATAAAATGGAACAACAAATTGATGTCTCTCTGTCTCTCCTCCTTCCTCTCCCACTCTAAAAAGCAATAAAGAGTCAAATAAAAATTCCAGCATTTTATATCACTTTGGAAAAGAACTATTCCCTCTTAACTGGAGTGTTTCTAAAAGTTCCAATCTGTGAAAGAACCAAAAAGTTTAACTGTGCTACAATATGATTATATTATTTTGCCAAAAATTACACTAATCTGATAAATACAGTTTATATACTTACTGCCACAAAGCAAATAAGGAACAAACAAAACTCTGGAACACATGATCTGTAACTACCACAGAGGAGATGCCCATAAATTATCTCACATTGAAGAATCTAACTGCAGGTGAGTTTTTTTTAAAAAAAGAACAGTCCTTTGCTAAATGCTAAATTTTAAAAAAATTCAGGAAAAGAGCTGGAATGGATAAATATCTCAGAACTACTTTAGATGTCATGGTAGTACTTTCACTCACTTAGAATGTTCTGAACGTTAAGTGCATCTGTCAGCTACAATTATCACCATTATAAACTAACATGTTATCTACACAAGAATTCACCCCTGCAAATTACCCCCAATAAATGCGAAAAAACTGACCAAGTAATAAAGTTATTACATGTTCATTTTAATTTAAATGAGGGAATTTTTCATCAAAATACTTCTGAAGGCCTCAAAGGTGCAGACTGTGTAGGGAACAAGATGATGGGACATCTATCTGCACGCCTAGTCTGGGGTCTTCAACACAGCCGCGCTAGAAGCAGGGTTTAGCCTGGCGGTCCACAGGGATCGACCCGACTTTTTTATCATGGCATCACTATAGAGCAGCTTCGTAACGGAAGGGTCCAGAAAGAGTGAGCCCGTTCCCCTATGCAAAGTTATCATGCTTAACCCTGCAGACTGCTGTTAAGGAGTTCCTTTAAACAGAGGTTTTACTTGGGCTCCCGTGAATCTAAAAATGGCAAATTACAACCAAGTATGGGAATTTTTGCTATGAATAATCTCAGTGCACAGAAAGAACTGGTGATCAACACCACCCACAGCATTTGGAATACTCATAACGGAGCACCCTCCCGCAATCTAAATCGATCTGAAGTCAGAGTCAATTCAATGACCTGTGCACCTGGAAAAAAAAGTGTTAAAATGGAGAATACGGTATGCCCTGACCGGTGTACCAGGCTTAGTTGGCTGGGCCTCAGCCTGCAGAGCAAAAGGTGATTGGTTTGATTCTGGACAGGGCAAATGGCTGGGTTCAGTCAACTCAGTCCTTGGTCTGGGAGCGAATGAGCGGCAACCCACTGATGTTCTCCCTCCCTTCCTCACTCTCTAAAAATAAATAAAATCTTTAAAAAAAAATAAAGAATAAGGCCCTGGCTGGTGTGGCTCAGTGGATTGAGCACAGGCCTGGGAACCAAAGGGTCACTGGTTCGATTCCCACTTAGGGCACATGCCTGGGTTGCAGGCCAGGTCCTCAGTGGAGGAGTACGTGAGAGGCAAACACACGTTAATATGTCTTTCTCTCTTTCTCCCTTCCCCTCTCTCCAAAAATAAATAAATAAAATATTTTTAAAAAATGGAGAATAAGGTAGTTGATGAATACACCTGGAAGGAAAGCTTACATAATTAGATCTTCTGAAACACCTGATGTACTGCTTTTGTCTCTGCACTAATGTTGGCAACAATCCTGTTAGGTTTAGCTAGAAACCCCCTTTACCCTGATGTAGTAAATTTGCATTCACAGACACCCCCCACCTCCTTGACTATAAATTCCCACTTTTCCTTGTTGTATTCAGAACTGAGCCCAGCTCCACACTGAGGTCTCTTCTTCCCTCCCCCAACAGCTTTTCTGAATGAAATCTGGTTTTACCACTTTAACTATTGTCCAGTTCTGGTTTTTCTGATAGCACCAAATTGGCTGTAACTATGCCTAAGTCACTTAGCCTTTCGGGGTTTCATTTTACTCATCTATCAATTTAAGAGAGACGGAGTAGATGGTCTCTAAGGATCCCTGTCAGGTCACAAATCCTCAGGAAGAAATAAGGTACAGAAAAATGAAGCAATTGGACTTGCTAGAGGCCTGGGAGCTGTGAGGCCAGCCGTCATCCCAGTCTCCTGACTCCCAGCATTGTGTTTATTTCACAAAACCAGTGACCTTTATAAACCTGAGTGCTGAAACCGAAAACCAGACAAATCCAGAGAAATGCCAGGGTGCTCCTTCAGCCCAAGGTGCCTCTTTCATCTTACAGTCTGTTGTTCAGTTTTCTTTAATCTTTGAGCAGCATTACATTTTGTTTTCTAAAATAAATGAAATTTTTCTCTCTGGAAATAAAAATATTATTACTTTTGCCAATAAAACAAATATGACACAGTAATTAACCTTGACTTTAGATGGCAGCAAAAATTAGAAGATTTTATTTGATCTCCTACCAAAAGTTCCTTCTTTTTTGTCTGCAAAACAATTTGGTTCAGAAGGGGGTGCCCACTTCTTACTTTACCCTAAAAGACTCCTAAAAGCCACAAGGCTCCTCAGAGTGAACACCCAGGGTGCCAGAGCGATTCTGGGTCTGACTCTGGGGCTGTTTTGCAGTGTGACCTCAGCAAGATCGTTTTACTTCCTCTAGGCTTTGGTTACTTCACCCATATCCAAAGGAAGTTATAAGGTGACAATTAAGATCAAAGATGTGAAGTTTTAAAGTATTATAAATTTAATGACAAACACTTTGTTTGCACGCCATGATACAAACTCAAATATCTATTCTGTTACCTCCAAATATACAGCCACATTCAAAAGCCTTAGAGTTTACAGTGGCTTGGAATTTTTTAAATACCACACTGAATAATGCCACTTCCTCCTTGGTAACTGTCAGTGCCATTTCTACCTGGGGGACAAGGAATAGCAAGTACAACCATCTTCTCCCTTCCTTCATCCCTATTCCCTTGCCATCCTCTAACGAACCGAAATTTTGCCCGTAAGTCTTTTAAAATGTTCCACTCCTGTGAAATACAAGAAATGAAATGCTACCTTACCTCGTGGTAGCAATCAGTATTTTCAACATTGGAAACACTTCATTTCCTGTTCACTAGCCCATTATGACATCATGGCTGGAATCCCAGTGTGGGTGCTCCTTAAATAATTCTCTTTCTATTTTCTTCCTTTGCCTTCAGTACACAGTCTGCGAATGCGCCCTGTTCCCTTCACCGTTTCGGTGAAGAAGGTGAAACATGACTTTGTACTTGCACATTTCTTTGCTCAATAAATACAGTCTCTCGTAAGAGAGACTGAGCTGGAGAGGTCCATCTGTCACAGAAAGGCGAGAACTGGACGAGATCAAACAGCAATGTGAAGGGGTAGGGGGAGCGGACCGATTTTAGGGCTTCCAAAGATAAACAAAGGAAGTTGATTTTCCCACCGCGGCGCACGTGCTTCCCCCAACTGCAGGCATCGGCGTGGAAGCCCACTGAGCTCGGTACCCTAAAAACGCTAAATTTCTCTAAAGCCTTCAGTCCCAGGTGGGCACCCAGAGAGTCAATAGAGACAGATGGACGAGAGAAGATTCGATTCCTTCCTCCCACTTCACCGAAGAACCTACGCACCTACTGACCCCAACACACCGACACTCTGTGTCAGCTCCTCCTCTGCTAAATGCAGTTTTCAGGGTAAAGAAGGGAGTGTGGGAGGGGCTGCAGGTGGAGGCGCGCGAGAGAGGAGCCGAATTCGGAGGCGAAGGGCCGAAGACGCTGTGGCGACACAGCGGAGGGGATCGGGTGCTGCCGGCGACAGGACCCCGTGACTACCGACCGGGGTCGGGATCGGGCCCCTTCCTCACCTGGCAGCCCTTCTTGTGATGAAAACCGACCACCACGATGTGCAGTACTGGCCCCCGCGGGGCACCCTGGCAGCCCCGCCCGACCTTCTCCATGGGCAGCCACCGCGGGCCCGCACCACCACGACGTCAACCGCCAAGGGCGGCGGGCAGGGCTGGTCGGTGGTCCCCGGGAGGACGGGGATCGGCGGACTTGAGGTGTCAACCAGGGCGCCGCATGAGAGCCACGCAGGGGGCCTGGAGGAGGCCGAGGCTCCCACAGCTCCGCCCCGCCCCCCGGGCTGCAGCCGCGCTCCGCTCAGCCGCGTCGGCTGCTTCCGGGCTGTCACCTGACGTGACCGCCGCCGGGGAGGCGGGGCGGGGCCGCGGACCGACCGGGCGGGGCCTGAGGGGCGGGATGCGGCCCTAAGGGCGGGGCGCGGGGGTGAGGCGGGGCTGTGACTTCTTGCACACCTGTCTCCTGCTCTCCTGTCCGCCTGCTTCCTCCTTCTACTCCCTCTCTTCTTCTTCAAAATCTCCGACCCTTCCCTCTTCTTTCAACAGCTTGTCTTCTTTTCAAACGTCTTTTCTGTATCCAATTCCTTCACTTCCTTTCCTTGGACTCTCTAGCCTAGCGTCTCTAGGCCCTTTACTCTTAAATATTGGATGACAAGGAGGCAGAGTGGTGCGACTCTGCCGGTGTATTCGGTATTTAAATGTTTCCCCAAGTGTTTCTCTTTGGCTTCCTTCCATGTCTTTATTTTTCTTTTTATTTAATTATTGTCTATAGGAATTTGGAAGCAACTTAAGGACTGAAGCAGAATATCCTTGGCAATAAAGGGAGTTTACAGAGAGACATATAAAATGATTATGTTAGTCCTATTATTAAAAAAAATTTCCTTTCTATCTTTTAAGTTTAGTACTCTGGAACAAAATATATGGGATCTGTTGTCACCAGAGTTTTTAATTTCCTTGCTGTTGTACTTCAATATTTTCTTAAAACATTGACTTTCATCCTGTGTCAATTTAAAGTGAATAATGGAAATACTAACAGATTTAACAAGTCTTATCCAGGGCAGTTTGGGGGTAAACAAAAGATTGGAGCCTGTGTCAAATAGAATTTGAGACCTGTGCAATAATTGCCTGTGAAGTTTACCATCATAGTTACACATCCCTTAGTTTAAACAACTTTAGCAGTTGATATTTTCCATTCTTGGCCTTGACATTTAATGACCTGCACTCTAATTTAAGTTAGTGGCTAAAAACAGTAGGCTTCCTATGATCAAGTTTAGTTTCTATGATTCAGTAGAACTGGTTTAATGCGAATGAAAATACTGGTAATTTTTTTCAAAATGTTGCTATCATTTCTTTTCTCTGTTGCAAAATTCTTGGAGTTGGCTCAAAACTGTGTGAAACTGTATTATTCTCTGTGTGCAGAATATGTTACTATTTTCTTCAATCTGACTTGATATTCTCCACAATTGCAATAGCTAAAATGAAAGTCTAATTGAATATCTTTTTTAAAAGATGCAAGGGTAGGGCATATGAGAACTGTATACCTACAGGGAAAGCCAGTTGTTTAATTCAGTAATGGCCTCATAAAAATCTGGTCACTTTGAATCCCAGGGCTTCAAACTAAGATTAAATAATTTGCTCACAGCTATTGCATTGCTCAAATGTTTAAAAAGTATGTCATTTAAAATATGCTGTGAACAAAAAAAGAATATATGCTATAAACAAGGAAGCTATGTTATAGAGAGACTTGGGAGGGAAAGTAAGCAAGGGAATTTCCAGAATTTTTTCTATCTCTAAATATATGGAGTGGCCCATTTAACAATTTAGGATAACAACTTTTACATTAATTTTTATGTGTTGTAATAGCACAATAAATTCATTAGCAAGATGTCTATAAGGAAAATACAAATTGAGGGAAAAAAACTAAATTTATCCTCTTATGAAAAGGGTTGGAAGGAGATTATCAAGATTGGAAATAACAATTTGCAATAATGGAATACTTTCTTCATGATATTTTGAAGGGAAACTTTTGCTTGTATTTTTATGATATTTATCTCCAGGGAAAAAGTGAGAAATGCTTTTCTGAACCCGTTGAAGAGCCTCTTCTAGTTACAGATATTTTATGATGGATATAAATTCTGTTTTATGACTGCTCTGTAAAAGATAAAGGGAGAAACACTTTGGAGACATAGAATGAATTCTCACCCTGACCAGTGTGGCTCATTTGGCTGGGCGACTTGCCAGGAAGAGAAAGGCTGCTGGTTCGACTCCAGTCAGAGTGTGTGCAAGAAGCAACCAATCAATGTTTCTCTTTCTCTCTCTTCTTCCCCCTTCTCTAAAAATAAATAAATAAAGCCTTAAAAAAATAAAATGAACTCTCCACCTGGAATTGGCCTGTTATTTCTTTTGTATCTTGTCTCAGGAAACAACAGGACAAAATAAAACTCCTCCCTTTCTGCAACCTCCATTAACTTTACTGTGTAAATGAATGTATCTCCTTTTTCAGATTACAATAGTGCTCCCTTATCTGCAGGGATAGTTCTAAGACCCCCAGTGGATGCCTGAAACCTTGGGTGGTATTGATCCCTATAGATACTATGGGTTTTTTTTTCTTATTTAGTTGAGAACTTTTTTTCACCTAAAAGAGACATTTTTGTGGCTTCTTTTTGGCACATCCAAATTGCCAGCATCTCTACTCTTGCATTTTGGGGCCATTATTAAGTAAAAAGAAGGGTTATGTGAACACTGTGATACCACAATTATCAAGCTACCACAAGAGAGCTACTAAATGACCAAAGAGTGGGCAGCATGGACAGCCTGGAGACGCTGGCAAAAGGGATGAATCACTTCCCGAGCAGATGAAAGGGATGACGGGAGATGTCATTACTCTACTCAGAACAGCATGCAATTTATGACTTATGAGTTGTTTATTTCTGAATTTCCCATTTCATATTATCAGACTGTGGTTGACAAGCATAACAAACCACGGAAAGCAAACCTACAGATAAGCAAGCACTACTGTATAAGGACGTTTTATTCTTCATTTATAGCATTGAAAACTGCTAAACTTTCATTTTATTACTATAATGGAAAACAAAATATTGACTTAAAGTATATTTTTATGAATTTTAAACTCAAGTAACAACAGTGACTTGAAACTGCTAAACTTTCATTTTATTACTATAATGGAAAACAAAATATTGACTTAAAGTATATTTTTATGAATTTTAAACTCTATCAAGTAACAACAGTGACTTGAATTTGGTCTCTGCTCTCATTATGGTATGGTCAAAATAAAACAAGAATAGAAATGGAAAAGAAAAGGGCTTCACAGGCAAATTTGGCATTACTTTGTCTTTAGAATTTTATGAAGATCTAGGAGGATATTGATGAGTAGGGCTGAAATAGTGAGAATGAATTTAAAGAACATTCACTAGACCATAAAGTAAACCTGGAACTGTGTGTAGTAAAAAAATTAATAAATTGCTACCTTAAAGTGTCTTACATCTAGCTATAAAAATAAGATGAGTGTAAACCGGCTAGCAATGCTAGCTTTGTAGCACACACTCTAAGCCAAGCATCATGTTAAGTACTCAGAAACAAAGATAAATAAGCAGCAATAGCTCGCATTTAATAAGCATTAATGTGCTAGTTTTCTACTAAGCACTTTAAATGAATTATCTCACTTAGCCTTCACAACCATTACAGGTGGACACTATTAATCTCATTTTTTCCCCCAATGGGTGAATTGAGACTTACAAAGTTAAATAACTTGCTCAAAGCCAACTAACTACAAAGAATAGTGGTAGAGATAAGATTTAAACCAAAATAATTTAATTGCAGAACCAGTGGATTTTATCACCATACTGCTTCCAAAATTCTTGTTTTTGAAGAACGCCCAGTTTATTAGTGGGCATGGTAGCCTCTTGGGAGGATAATTATGAGATAATACATTGAGAACATTCTGAGAGCTACTAACGTTCTTGCAGGATGAGAGCCCAGCGAGTCTGCAAGCCTCACAGAGATAGTCACATCTGAGCAGGGCCTTGAAGGATGAACAGAATTTCTCAGAACTTGGGCTCAGAGCATCCTAAGTGCAATAAAGTAAAATCACTAAGAACTGGAGTTATTAAGGGAAACATCTGAGAATAGAAGGGTTTTATGCCAAACTTGGAGGAAGCATGTAAGATTTAACGTGCAGCAGGAGATGTTTGGAGGCAGACACATGCCAATTGCACATAGTATTCCCTCAACTTCTGTCCCTTTTCTGCCTCTTATTCATGTCACCTCTTAATCATGTCACCTCGTATTCATCCTCCATGAGGGTGAATTGACTCCTGTCAATTCCTCTGAAACTTCCCAAACTATATCTGTGGCCAGTGGGCAAAATATTTAACCTTTCTAAGTATGAGGAACTTCATCCTAACACCTGCCTCAAAGGCATCGTAAAGATTAGGAATAAGTGTATTTGTAAGTTTCCTGGCTTATAGTAAGTGCATAATATTCATCAAATGAAAAAAAAAAGCCACAAGGAGGGTGAATTCTGCAGGGCTTTGAACTCAATGTCCCATCTGTAGGGGCTTCCAAACCTCCTCGCTGACATTGCCTTTAATCTTACCTACTTCTCTAGAAATCTTGAAGCTAATTGAAGCCTTTTAGTCTATACATTAAATTTCATATGCTTGTATATGTTTGTTAGTTGTCTTTCTTCTTCGTACATCCTTAACCTCCTAGAAGGGTAGAAGACCTTATAGTTCTGTTCTGTACAATGTTTTATACTCAGTAAAATGCCAAATAATATCCAACTAATACATATTTGTCCAATGAATAAATGATGGCTGCTTTTGCAACCATTTGTTGTATAAATGAATAATGATCTTGTTTAGACTCTAGCTTTAAGTTCCTAGGATACAAATATAAAATACACTAAGGCAGAAATTTGTTTGCTTTCTATTCAAAACAGAAGTGCAAAAGCATTAAGGTTTCCGAAGCGTGATGACATTAACACAGTGACATCTGGTAGTTGCCAGTTAGACAGTGTGTTTAAAAAATAATTAATGATAAAAATAGACTTAAAAAATAGACTCCTAGATATAACAAGGTCGAGAACAATGGGTTAAATACAATAGAAAAATTAAAAGAAACCATTTAAATTCCCACTCTCGAAAAGTTTACAAAACTTGCTGGTTGTGGGTTTCCTTAATGAACCCTCAATGAATTCATTCAGAAGGCAAGATATTTTTAATGTTTCTCGGAAACTTCAAAGGGAGCGTGGATAACTGTGGAGAACGCAAATTGGCCGGTGGACAGAAATATTTCCCAGGTCTTGCTGCTGGCGAACGAAGGGACCGGTGCAAAGGAGGACTGGCGCGATCGCACGCTCGGCCTTAGATTAGTCGAGCCTGCCCAGGTCGCAGGGCGGGGGGGGGGGGGAATCGGAAGCGCGCTCATTCAAACTCGCCGTCCCGACGTCGATGGACGCAGGCCACTTCCGGTGGCGCCATGGCGGCCAACGCTACCACTAACCCGTCGCAGCTGCTGCCTCTTGGTAATGCTCGTCCTGTGGGAAACGGGGGTGAGGAGGTGAAGCTGGGGCTTGGGGACCCAGGAGCTGTGGGCCGAGGCAGCCCTGGCCGAACGTTAGGAAAATGTATGGGACCAACTGCCTTCCACCTCGGCCGCTTGTCTCTAGGTTCCGAGTCTCTGCGACCCGAGGCCCCCACGTCCCCCCAACGTAGTAGAGGTCCTTTAGGTAGGGACTTGGTGACTCTCCGAACCAAACTGTCCCCGGAAAAGGGCCACATTTGGTGAATACGTCGCCAGCCTTCTTTGTTGTGAGCAGTCTTAATCTTCAGCCTGGCGTTTAAGCTCCCAGGGTAGACCCCCTTCCCATAGCTGGCCGGTTGTTGAGACAAGCACCAGGGTCTGGAGTGAGCCTTCAGAGAGGATTCTAGAAACGAGCTTTCTTTGTCATTCATTGATTCAACAAGCAGTTAGTTATCGAGCATCTGCGCACCACTTGGCTGGTTATGATTCGACAACTTTCAATCGCGGCTTTTGCGTTCAAATAGCACACAAACCAGGGGGGCGGGTAGGACACTAGATAATAAAATCATACGAAACAGCGCCAGGCCGGCTCTAGAGGGGTGTTAGCTGCGGAGTACAGAGGATAGACTTCTTAGGGTGACAAGGAGGACTCTGATGAAGACGGCCCCCCCCAATATAGCTGAAGAGCGATTCGGTTAGTCAGTAGGGCTGTGATTGAAGTTTTTTCCTTCATTTGACAAACTTAGAAAAATTATTTTTCAATGACAAACTGATTTTGAATACTCAGCAGGCTCTGTCCATTGGGGATACAGTGATAAGCGGAAACAACCAGTTTCTGCTCTCCTGGACCTGAAAGTCGGGGGTGGGGGCAGTTCATGTGTTAATTATACAGTCTAATATAAAACCACAACCTTGACAAATTGCTACAAAGGAGAGGTGAGGAAATACGTTTCTGTTAATACAGTGATTGAACAGAGATGTGTAGTGTAAAATCTAGTTTTTGAATGAATACTTTTCCTGGTTTATCTTTCACCATATGCAAGTAATACGTGCTGGTAGGCACACAAACACTTGTTGAAGTGATGAATTAGTAAAATAATCGTTTCCTTCTTCCTTTTAAAAAATACATAGAACTTGTGGACAAGTGTATAGGATCAAGAATTCACATCGTGATGAAGAGTGATAAGGAAATTGTTGGCACGCTTCTGGGATTTGATGACTTTGTCAGTATCCTTTCAAAATAACGGTGGTGATAGGTTTTTTTCTGCAGTATTTAAGAACAGAAGAAATTACACAAGGTCTACTTACTGGTAATTATAATAAAAATCAGTGTATTCTCAGGGAAGTTGTGATACTATTCTAACTTAATGAAGATAAAGTTCCTACCAATCACAAGCTTTCTGAATTTGAGCTGTTGTGTTAAATGTTGCAACTGAAACTGAACAAAGGCAGAAAGCCAGAGTAAATTCAACCTGATGTATTTATTTCCTTAACACCATACTTCAGACATGGTCCTGGAAGATGTCACTGAGTTGTGAGTAGTGTTAAAGATTAAAGAATTGGTGGGGGTCGGGGAAGGGAAATCACTCTTTTTTTCAATTTAAGGCAATTTTATACTGTTGAGTTAGTAAAACAATGTATGAGAAAACACTGCCTATTGGAATTGCCTTAAAGATAGAAATTTTATTTTCTGAGACTATGCTAGTCTCAGACTATGCTGGGTCTGAGGGTTATTACCTAATGCAGTATTACTGGATTGCTAGGAAATTAGTAGAAACAAAGCTTTAAGGTAAAAGATGCTAAAAACGGGGCTTAGGTCAAGTCAGGGAATTGACCTTAAGTGCATTTAGTGCTCTTAAGTAAAGTAATCTCTCTAATTTATGTATAAGATAGAATGTGAAGGGTGGCTCATTTACACTAATTATAAAGATTGCAACCAGTATCTCTGCTTTCGGAACAGAATTGATGCAGACGGGCTTAATGGATAGGAATCAGTAGTAAGAGTAAAGTGAGGATAGTGAATGTTTTATTTCATATTTGATTTCCTTGGCACATTTCAGCTTCTTTTATGAAGATCAGCCATAGGGGACATGGTTCTTAGGCCAATCAGTCCACTCTGTCGCCTTTGGGGAAGAGTGTACATCACCCAGTGGATAACCTGCTGTGATTGTCTGGCCTCCTGTTCATTATATACAATAATAACCTTTTCAGGAATGAAAATGTTGGCTTTGATTATCTCTGTTTACCTCTACTCTCTTTCGTTTTTTACTTATGCATTTAGTGAAATCACACCAGAAGGCAGAAGGATCACTAAATTAGACCAGATTTTGCTAAATGGAAACAATATAACAATGGTAAGACAGCCAAGCTGTTATATGTCAGTGTTAGACCATTTTGTTTTGCTGGGGAAGGGATTATGGCACTCACTTGCTTGACTCAGTGCTCACAGCCTGTGGTGTTTTGAGTGGGAAAGGGATGATATGGCAGTCAGGGCTCGAAAGCTGAGCTGTTGATGATGACATTGGGCCAGGAGATAAGTTTGCTTGTGCTCCTTAATCTTTTACTTTCCTGTGGCTGATTGTCAAGACACTGAGTATTACCTGACGGTGTTGGCAGCGAGAGGGTGTCATGGAGAAGAGGGGGCGTGCGGCAGGGGCGGAGAGGCGGAAGCAGCTTTGGTCCTCGAGGAGCTCTCAGTGGGTGTTTTCAGATGGTGTTGAGGTGGTGCTATTAAACTCTTTCCTCATTTGCAGCTGGTTCCTGGAGGGGAAGGACCTGAAGTATGAATGGATTCCTTGACTGATGCTAGCTAGATTCTGTGTCATCTTATAATGGCAACAAAATAGACGTTTTTTTTAAGCCTTTCAATATCTGGATTCTGTGAAGCTAAGTTTCCCGTTAAAGGGGAATGCTTCGAAGAGGCATTGTAAATGCCATTTTTGTAAGTTAATCATGTTTATCTTGGAAGAAAAAGAACAGTTTGTTCTTTGAAGACTACAATAAAGGCGTTTTTGGTTAGTTGTCATTTTATTTATTCTGCTGCAGTAGCCATTGGAACAAAGCCTGTCGTTACGCTGTCCCTTGCTCTCATTTGTTCCTCATTTACACAGTCACTATTTGGTTCTCAAAAATTGTTCCAAACAAAGTGAGGGACTTTGATTTTTGAGCAGATGCATTTGAAAAAAATGAAATGATTTAATTCAATTCAAACTGATGCTTTGAAATTAAGATTTTTCTGTTGAACTCAAATTCCATTAACTCCTGTTAAAAATGAGCAACAATACACAGGTAAATATATACATGTAGAAATGCAGATAAAAGGAAAACATTCGTTACACTTTACTGTCTGTCCTCTTAGACTCTCTCAGCACACATTTTATACTTACAAAAATGTTTTGACCCTGATTACACTGTTTTGTAGCCTCCATTTAAGATTTTTTAAAAATGTAAATGGTGAGCATCTTTCCGTGTCTCATTTCAGCAACATTAATGTGTGCACAGTATTCCGTTGAATGGGTTTACTGTAATTTATTTAGCCTGTTCTTACTATTGGCCACAGTACTCTAGCTAAACCTTTATACGGTTTAATTTTTCTCAGAAGAAACTCAGAAATGTGTAGGGTCAAAGGGTGTATGTCATTGTGTCACCAGCAACAAGCTTGTCAGCGGTTTTCCACAGCGCCCTTTACCTGCTTCGCGCCATTGGCCGTGTTCTCGCCTCTCTTTGACGTGAGAGGCAAAACCTGGTATGTTTGGTGTTTTCTTCATTTATTTTGTATTTTGTGAATTACTGCTGTGAGACTTTTGCCATTGAGATGCTTGTCTTGTTTCTTACTAATTTGTCACAATTCTTAATAGGTTACTCCTAGTCATCTATTTTGTGGGTTAAACTCCCCAGTTTGTAATAGACTGCCTCTTAGTGGTACATTTTTTGACATAAATAAAAATATTTTTCTGTAGTCATGTTGGTCTTGTCCTTTATGGTTTTTGACTACAGCACACATGGATTGAAAGGAACTTCTTTGTGCTAAGACTGTGTTTTTTGGTGCTTTATATTTTTTTGGTTTCAGTTAAGTCTTGACCCCATCTTCAATGTTAGTGTTTCCACTTGAAAAGAGGACCCAACTTTATTTTCTAAAAGCACTGATTCATGGTATGTTTTGATTTTCACCGTGCAACTCCTCCCACCATGGCTGATGCCCAGCAGCCTAGAGTTTGACAGTGAAAATGTCAAACTCTTTCCTCCTTTGCAGCTGGTTCCTGGAGGGAAAGGACCTGAAGTATGAATGGATTCCTTGACTGATGCTAGCTAGATTCTGTATCATCTTATAATGGCAACACAATAGACATTTTTTTTAAGCCTTTCAATATTTGGATTCCACCTTCCCTGCTTGCCACCTTCCCACAGGCATCGCAGCTGGTTCTCCAAGCCGCTGCTTCCGAGCCGTGTTGGGGGGACGCTTTCCCGCCTGCTGTGCCTTTCCTTTTGGAGGGAGGTGAAAGGATGTCGCATCATCTTCTTACCACCCTTTTACTCTCTATTGTCCACTGTGGTCATGCTCAGCTATTACTGTTTTCCTTCTAGGAGTTCCTTGCATGCGGGGAGCACGTGCTCAAAGTCTCGGAGGAGCCTCACCTCGCAGGGAGGCCTGTGCTCATCCAGTGTGTGGCCAGGTGGCTGAGTTGAATTCTGGGTTCAGTAACAGAACTTCCTTGCCTGCAGATAAACTGTGTTTCTTAACCTTTTTTTTTTTTTTTTAGGATTTTATTTATTTACTTTTAGAGAGGGGAAGGGAGGGAGAAAGAGAGGGAGAGAAACATCAATGTGTGGTTGCCTGTCCAGCACCCGCTACTGGGGATTTGTCCCACAACCTAGGCATGTGCCCTGCCTGGGAATTGAACTGGTGACCCTTTGGTTCGCAGTCTGGTGCTCAGTCCGCTGAGCTAAACCAGCTAGGGCTTAACCTAGTCTTTAACAGTAAAAAAGATGAGGGTATGATCCTCCCATCTGCTTACACTTTGGTTTTATATAGAAATTCATTTAAAGTTGGTACTATTCTAAATAAGGGTTTCTTAACCTTGCCACTATTGACACTTGGGTCTGGATAATTCTTCGCCGTGTGAGTGTTGCAGTGTGTTTGGCAGGGTCCCTGGCTTCTTCCCAGAGGTAGCATCCTTCCTGTCTTCCCTGCCGGCTCACATTGGTTGGTATTGGAGAGTGACTTCCCTGCCGACTGTGTTCTGGTTCTCCACAGTTTTAATGGTGACACCTAGTGGGCAAAAAGAACAAAAAGAACAGGACTCTTAAGGGAGGCTTCTTTCCACTCCTGCTGGTGTGTTTCTCGTGGAGTAAGATCGAGCAGTGTAATAATGCACTGGGCCTCTCCCCTGTCCCTTTGTTTGCTCTGCTCAGGACACGTGGAGTAACTTACCTGATTTAAGTATGGGAGGAGGGAAAGTGGGCATGTTTGCCTCGACTCCTTTTTCCTCTCGGGGTTGAGTTGCCTTCAGGGAGCGTGCATTATGCCCTGCTTTTGGCTGTTACTTATGGGGGTCTGCATGAAGGCAGGAAGAAGTCTGGGGTGGTCCATCATGCCATAGGTTTTGTGGGTTCATTAGAATTATTTGGGAGTTTCATAATAAGTTAACTATAGCCCACAGAACAAGCTACATCATCTAGCACCTGTCAGTAATAAAACTGATAATATAAAACATGTTTTGCACCCTATTACTGTTTTGCCTTTTTTCTTAGTTGGTTCAGAACTCAGTTGTGGAAGAGGGGTGCTGGTTCTGGGTCCCCTCCAAGACTCCCGTAGTCCTCAAGTCTGATATAACAACCTCCTTGCTCTCCCAGGCTGCCCCCCTCTCACCTCACACGTCTCTCCTACACAGCAGTGAGCATGTGCGTGGTTTCTCTGGAATGCAGAACACGGTCACAGGGCACTCAGGCTTTCGGACCTTTCAGTAACCTACCCTCTGCACAACAAGTGCCCAACTTCCTGAACAGGAGACCCTGAGGGGTGCCTGTTGACCTCGTCAGCCGTGGCTAGGTCTTGCCTTAGTAACACAGAACTTGTAATGCTGGCTGTTTCCTCTTTGGATTTTGGCTTATGTTGAGCCTCTGTGGGAATACCTTTGACTTTAAACTTTATTTGGATGATTTCTCAAGTGTCACTTCCTCCAGGAAGTCTTACAAGACCCCCCACCCTTCTGCCACTTCTCGGTGCTTATATGTGAGAGGTCATGGAGACTTCAAAGTAGCTCTGCGTTATACAGTCTTGAACAGCAATCTCAAGCAGTGCACACCAGGCAGAGTCCTGGTTTCCCGGGAAACGAGTCCTGTTACACTGTTGGACCAGGAACTGTAGAGTCTGGGCCACCGCTAACACCACCAGCATCTGAACATCAAAACATTCTATAAAGCGACAGTAGCGGTATGCAAGGATCTTGTTGTTGGGCTTTTGTGAACCACGTATTTTTAAATTATTATCAGTGAATTAGTGATTTAATCAATACAAATGTAGAAAGAAACAAAGGAGACGCAAATGTGGACCAGCGGTGAAGACTGGTGGTCAGTGAGTCATGGGCAGTGAAGACACATGTCGGAAACAGGTCCCGTGTGGAGGTTACTAGTCTCATCCCTCTATTGAAACTTTCTGTAGAGAGATGTTAGGAATAAACATCGTAGTCTCATATTGACTTCATAGATGTGGATGTGTTATTAATGAAATAATGACTGAACCATTCAATATAAATACATGTACAAAGAATGGTGAGGCACCATCAACTAGGACCGTGTGTGGTGATGCAAACCAGAAGCGCCGCAGCCCTGCTGCCCAGTAAGAAGTGGGTGGACACAGGGTTCACCTCTTTGACTCGGTTGTAAAGTTTCTGCTAAGGAGTTTTATTGTTCTGGGTCTGCCTCAAGATCGAGTTCGTTCTTTGTTAGGATAATAATTACATATACTAAGAAAAAACCCTAAAATACTGAATCAATTAAATGATTAGGTGATGACCTGAACGTGTTAGTTTGGCTGGCCTGGTGGATCGGCCCTCAGGGCAGTGACGGCTGGGCTCTGGCTGCTGGCAGGGCAGGGCAGGTGGAGCCCTGGGGAGCGCCAGCAGCTTCCAGGGCTCTGTGAGTGCCACCCACGGACATCCCCCATCCAGTTCTAACCAGGCCCAGCCCCACTTGGCTTCCAAGATCAGACGAGATCAGGCGCATTCAGGGTGGTGTGGCGGTAGACCCACTCGGACCTCTAAGTGGAGTGGCTAGCACATGCTCTCAGCCCAGCCTGGTCCCCAAGTCCAAGCTCTGTCTGCTCCACATATGAAGAGTGTGAGGTCAGCTGGCAAGAGGCTAGAGCAGAGAATGACTGGAAAACAGTCTATTTTATCCAAGGCTGACCCTGGCTGAATCTTTGGTTATTAGATATTTTATTCTTGAATTTAATAAGAAAAGTCATGTATGACATCAGCTGGTCACCAGAGGGCACTGTGGAACAGGCAGCTAGTTGCTAAAGCCAAGGCTTCCTTGGAAATCCAGAACTTTGCTAGAAGACTTCAAGAGGATGGGGACCGGTGGTTGACCAGAGAGCTGGACCCAAGCACTCTGAGGCTCCTCCCCCCATTCCCGGTCTTTGAAATGTGCAAACTGCCCACCATAGGAGCCCAGCAGGGACTGGTTCAAGGACCCAGCCTTGAGAGTAAGTGTTGTTGAGATTCTCTGGAGGAAAGATGTTTCTGAACCCAGGTAACGCCTCTACACAAACGTTTAAAATTCAGGCAGGTGGGTGCAGATCTACCTGTTTTGAGGTTGCCCCAGACCAGCCTCATAAGTTGGTTCTCTTGCTTATTCAATTTGCCGCCTGCTGACCTGGAGTACTCTGCCTCTTTCTTCAGTCTCCTTACCCTATGCACGGGAGCCCTTTTCAGATTTCACCCAGCAAGCTCCGAGCTTTTATTTTGAACCAACAAACTTGTGAATGAACTCAGATTGTACTATTGGATCACACTACC